AACGGACCCATTGTAACTTTATTAAAAGCGACACCGGTTACACTTGTCTGCTTGTTCGGTATCAATAAGTTATTGCTGATTCGAGAAGTTAATTGAACGGAATGATTCTAAAGGAACAAAAGAAAAAGTATAGTTACTTGAGTTAGAGACTATTTTCAATCTTTCAAGTCATCAAATAATATGTAAATGAAAAGAAGCAATCCAAACACCAATCTCGAAAACTAAATCTATTCTCTTCATTCCTTTTCTGAGTATTTTTTAGGGGAAAAATCCTCTAAAAATCAAAGTTTCATCTCAATTTTGAAGGATTAGTTACGGTTTTAACTAACCGTGCTTTGATTATCATTTAATTTTTTTCCATCATTTTGTCTGGGATTATCAATGATCTCTTCTTCGGCATCTTGTTCATCATCTTCCAAACGTTTTCTTGCACGCCGTTTCCATGAAATATCCTCCTCATCAGGAGAATCAAATTTATCGTCTACATTTTCTTCTCGATCACTATTAGCATGTCCGGATCGATCAACAAATAATCGGTTCAAATGCGCCGTAATCGTTCCACGACCTGGTGGTTTTTTTAAAGATTGTTTATCTTCACTTAGTTCATCATCCGATTTAAAACTATCATCACTTGAACGTCGTTTCTTCTTTAGTGGTTTTTTAGGATTTTCATCATCATCATCGTCATCATTGAATACATATTTCTGATTGGTTTTATTTCTTGTTGATCGACGACGTGAGTCAAGAATGAGATTTAAATCGAGATCATCACTTCCAGAATTTTTGTCATCATTATTATCACTACCTGATGCGCCATCTGATACTAAAATAGATTAGTAAATAGATAAACTAATGAGATATAGGTAGATAAATAAACAGCAACTAACCAAAATCGTCACTGTATGATTTTCTTTTTGATTTTCGTCGAGATGGACGACGTGTTCTAAAAACAATGAAAGATCATGTTGATAGATAGAAATGGTTTTAGACACAAAAAAAAGTTACCGTTTCTTTTTCCGTCTATCTCGAGATCGTTTTCTCTCTTTTTCAGCAACATCCGACAAGTCTTCACCACTCAATTCTTCCTGTTCATTTTCTTCTTCATCGTCCTCATCATCACTTGAACCATCCATTTTTCCTGTCTTTTCAGCATCAAGAAAATCACCATCTTCTTCATATCGTCGCTTTGGCTTTTTCCCAGGTGACTGGTTCTTATCATCATCGGAAGTGTCTTGGATAAAAACAAAAGAATGAAGAATTAGACAAAATGAAGTTGTGTAACTGAGATTTGCGGTTGCTCCGATGTTTAGAAATAACGTTAAAAAACACAAAAACCGTTAACTTTCTTCAAAATAATAACTACAACATACCCGATTCTTCTTTATTGTCTTTAGCTTTATCATCATCCAATATGGCACTTTTCATTTGTTTTTCATAATCATCAAATCGATAATTTTGATTTCTCATTCTACATGATCTTACTCCCAGTTGTTCATAGGGTACACGATTAATTGGTTTATAGGATCGACTCGTAGTGGACGATTGTTTAGCAACTTTTTCAATATGACACGTTGTTGTTTCATTTTCTTTCTCTTCATCTGTTGTTTCATTCACTCGTTCATCTTCTTCTTCTTCTTCTTCTTCTTCGTTTTCGTCTTCTTCTTCAGGTTCCTCGTCGGAATAATCATACGCTGAATTTTTTCGTTTCCTATTTCCATCTATACAACAAAAATAAGAATACAACAAGATCTTGATTAAATCAGATATACAAATCTTACTTTTATTTCGTTTGAACATGTAATCTAAGTTTGCTGTTACATTTGCTAAACGATCTTTTCGTTTCAAAACACACTGATTGCGTTTCGATTCAACTTCTTCATAATTTTGAATTATTTGTTTTAGTTTTTCTACTAATATTTCACATAAACGTTTATGTTCACATAATGGACAATACCAATTCCCGTCGGGTACATTAAGTAAAATAGGTTTTAAACACTCTGTATGGTAAGCATCATCGCAATCATCACATAAAAGTAATGATTCTGGACGATCTGTTTTTGAACAATTACAACAGGCAGTAGTTGATAAATGTTCGGGTAATAAAGCCCAATCTATACAAATGAAGAAAAACTTAGTGAACATCTATATCATCAGGTACGAATTCTCTTTTCACAAGCTAAGAGCGACTATAGTTTTATATTATATCTGTTTCAAGATCATCTTACCAACATCAACATTTGTTTCTGTCGCTTTACGACGTTTGGAAAGAACGGTTTTTGCTGATGGCACATATTCATCTTCATCCACGTTGTCTTCTACTTCCATTTCATCATCAAGATGATCTGGTTCCTAAAATTATCTAATATTTTATTTTGTATCCAAAGAATTGCAAAAAAAACAATTAATAACAAAAGAATATTTGATAATTTTGAGTAGAAAGAAAAATGACTGACCTCCTCTACATAATCATCATCATCATCATCTGATTGTATTTTTTCATTATCTGAACTTGTTTCACTCAAATACAAATCTCCAGCAATTTTTACACGTTTCTTCTTCTTTGTACGTTTCGTTTTCGTTGAGGATGTTGGTTGTGAGGAAGATGACTGTTTTGTTATACCGTTTTGATTTTTGATTTTACTGTCTGTTTTCTTATTCGATTTAACAGGTGACTAAAATATAACAGAAAAAAACACAATTCTCAATCGATGATTTTATAGAATTTAAATAAGCTACTTGTAGAACTTAAAAAATTTAGAACATTTTAGTTTCCACGTGTAATTTTTTAACACAAAATAACAAAAGTTACTCGACTATGGTAAATCGATACTTTAGGTATTATTTTTTACTCTAACTTACTTGAATATTTGATTTGTCTTTGGTGGGTGTTGTAATTTCAGTCTTTAATGTACGTCTTGAACGTCGAAGTGCAATTGGAAGATCATCATTTATTGATGCTTCATCAATATTTGTTCTTGATATTGATAAATTTGAGTTTTCATCTCCCTCATTTGTATTATTATTTTCATCATCTATTCGTTTTCGTTTTCTAGTATTCGTTGGTTTTTTTGGCTTTTCTACTTCACGTTGATGTTGTTGTGTTTCCATATCGTCATTTTCAATTTGTTGACTTTTATTCTTTTTTATTCTCTTCTTTCTTGTCCAACTAACAGCTTTTCGTCTTGGTCGCCGTTTTACTACATCATTTTTTTCTTCATCACCCTGACCTATTTTCTCTTTCTTAACTGGATGTTCATCCGTTTTGTTCAAAATTTTACTATCAACTGGACTTTCTTTATCATCACCATTCTCTTTCATAGTCGTTACCTCTTCTTGTTTGATCTCATTTTTTATTTCTGGACATACTATTTTCTCCTGTTTAACTGTTGTTATTTCTTGGGATGGAACTAGGATGAAAAAAACCCACCCGCACATATTATAATTACCATTAAGCGCACACACATACTCTTACCATTTTCACTATCTGAGTTTTTATTCTCATTATCTTCTTGTTTTATATTTGTTTCACTAACTTCATTCTTCAGAATTAATTTTTCATCAGTAACGTTCTCATTCTTAACATCTAGAATAAAAAAAAGAAACAATGAAACCTCCATAAAAAAAATAAGGATCTTAAATTATTACCTCCTTTTTTAATCTCATCTAATTTGGGAATGGTTTCTTTCGTATCATCAAAATAGAGTTTCGAATCGATAGGATCGTCAGGCAAACCAGATAAAAAAAATGTTGGTAGCTCAAGTGTCCATTCTAAATTGAATAATTAAATCAATTCAAAAGTGTCTCGTTTTTCTCACATATTCTCTATTCATACCTTGAAATTTCTTTTTTAATGTTTGATCATATGCCAAGCATTTTGTAAAACGCTCAAGTTCTTCACCATTTCTAGAAAATAAAACCATATATATGTTAGCGTGGTAAGTTTATATCTAGAAAGTTATAATTCATAGGTAAGTTGAAATACTGACAAACAAATATTTAGTAAACAAGAGTATAAGTTCTAGAATATTATGTATTTACTTTGCTATATTTGTCCATGTTCTTTCATAATCCGGACTTTCTCGAAATAAACGCACAAAACATTCGTTATCCTAAAAAATATATAACATATATATAAAACATGACTTTGAAAAAAAACTTGTTTACATTCTGCAGATTTTAATAACAAAGTGTTATTAATAGTTTTTTCCTTATTTCTCTCAGTGGGTGAAGTTAACATGTTCATATAACTTACCATAAACAGCCAATAAGACGAACCATATCGATCTCTTCCGAGCTGCAAATAGCCAAGAATAAATAATAAATGTAAAATATATTCATAAATGTATTTGTCACCTACCGGTTGTGATCGAATCTCGTTGGCTGGTTTATCTTGTAATGCAACTTTTATCGTCTGATTTTGATCGAATTGTGATTCAAGAAGATTCTAAATTTAAAATTATAATCAAGAAACAAAATATCTAATAAGAGCAGCACCTTTGTGGCTAAAATGTAAAACTGCTCTAATTCTAACTGAGCACTAAAAATAGCCTTAGTACTTAGAAAAAAACCAATATAAATCCAAAGTTCCTGTGCAAAATTTTGTATCGTCCAGGACAAAAAAGACTAAAAAACATGTTAGTAATTTGAGACTTTCATTTTTTCTCAGATCGAAAGTAGGAGATGAAAAAGATTTCGTGAATAAGTAATGACCTATGTATCTACAGAGAGACAAAAGAAAGTTTTTGATAGGGTTCACCATGGTAAAAGAAAAAACAAGTGTTTTGCTACTCTCAGAAATTTTTTCAAAAGCAACCTATCAAGAATAAAAGGTTTTCGGAATTTGTCACTCATCCAAGTCGAGTCAAATTTTATATGAATATTTATCTATCAATACGATATCCACAGCATTAGAGCAAACATTCTTGGACTTATACAGGTTTTTAAAAAAACAGGGACTCTTCAAATAAAACGCATTTTTAAGCAAAACAAATGACAAAGTCGAATCAGCTCATAAAATTGCACCAAACCATGTATAAAGCAACAAGTTTCATATGAAAAAAATTCCAAATTAAAATTTTTCGTTTCGATCTCTCCACAGGTAAAAAATCGAGGAAAATTAAAATATTTTAGAACATAAACTTAATCTTCCCAATCCTTCGGATTTTGAAAAATAATTTTACAAAAAACGGTTTTGTTTGCTTCTCTATATCTACCTTTAAAATACGAATTTTCACATTTATTGTTGCACGTGCATAACCTGCGGACGCCAAATGATCGCCATCGTCCCAGTTAAATCGATATGTAAACTAAAAAAGATAGATGACGATAAACATCATTTTAATAAAAGAAATTTAGATCCCATACTCGTGTTATCGTTGATACAAATTTTTCACGTTTAGCATTTTTACCCAGTGCCAAACGTTTGAGTAGTAAGATATGAAAATCAATTAGACGTCGACTAACTATAAAGTTGGAGAACATGGATGATAATATTACAAAAAAATTATTCAGTTTTCAACTTACTATTCTCATTATCACTTAATAAATGTTCTTCTAATAGTCTTAATGGATAATCATTTAAATCAAGTAAGGAACGAAATTTATCCAAAAAACATAGTACAACACCATAATTCGAATCGTTTAGTAAACATAAACGTCGCTCTTCTTTTTCAGTTTTAGCTTTTAAACGATCAGGCTTTTCGCTTCGTTTTTCACCAAGATTTTCCTCAAGTTTTGACTCATGAAGTGGAAGTTCTGTGTTTTCATTTGGTTGATCATTGTTTTTTGGTTGATCATTGTTTTCTGGTTGATCATTGTTTTTGGGTTGATCATTGTTTTCTGGTTGATCATTGTTTTTGGGTTGATCATTGTTTTCTGGTTGATCATTGTTTTTGGGTTGATCATTGTTTTCTGGTTGATCATTGTTTTTGGGTTGATCATTGTTTTCTGGTTGATCATTGTTTTCTGGTTGATCATTCACTGCGGTACTTGGAGAAGTAGTTGGTTTAGTGTTTGATGATACGATTTCAGTAGCAGATGGTTCACTTAATGACACTTCACTTGATGGAAGAATAGGCTGTTCACTTATTGACAAAGTAGCTTCAATTGTTAGTGTTTCATCCATATTGATCCAGTTTTTGATTTCATCGACGGGAAATAAATATTGAACATTAACCAGGAGATATTCCTACATAATCTAAAAAACTGGATATGCTTTTAAAATTCTACTTGCAAAAATGTGACAGAATGAATTTTTCAAGCGTTATAGAATGATGTATGTATATGACAATTTAACTCCTCTCAATAATGACATGACATATAATCAAATTTTGACTAGGTGAATTCACGCATCCATGATAACGGCATACGCTATGAGCATTAGATAATCAACTTTAAAAGATATGCTACTCAATAGGATAAATACATCAAAATAATTTTGACGAAGCTATTAAATACAAAATAACATTGAACTATCTATTCTTTCTTTCACAATATTATACTTTACATTTACCATTGTAAAATTCATATATCTTTTAAAGAAAACGTCTATTTAAAATAGAAACACTAGTCAGACAGAATCTTTTTGATAGCTGATAAAACTTGCATTTTCAGTCGCCTTTTCCTTGAAAAATAAATATTATATAACCCAGTTGCTCCTTAAAAATGCGTAGATAGAAGATCTATCAAATCTCTTTTACAACAGAAATCTTTTTTATCATTTTGGTATTGATTTTAGGTTATATCAGGATTAAACGAAGAGATCAATGTGAAACGAGAAATTAAAATGAACCAAGTTGAAACAAAAGCGTCCATCGATCAAACTGTGTTTGGTGCGACAATAGGCGAATGAAAATCTGTTTGAAAACCGCTAAATGAGGATTATTATCGTTCTTTCGTTTTTGAAATATATTTCAAAAAAAAGACTATAGCACTTCTTCGATAAATTTTATGCGTTCAGATTTCTTCTAAAACGTAAAAGTCACTTTTTAATAGTATTTCTTTGTTGATGTTTGAGTAGAACCGTTTTATTGGTAACTTATCATGATGACTCACACTTTCGCCCTCTCTTTTTCTTCCATTTAAAATGGAAGTCAATAGAAAAATAAGAAGATCGAGACACTACAAATCATTTATTATTCACCTCATTGCCATCAAGTATAAAAAGACTTTCAGTCAACTGAACAAACGGCATTCTGCGATTTTGAAACAAAAAAGAGATAATAATAATCATGTTATTACAGGTCAAGACACTTTCCAACGAAAAGTTTACTGTCGAATGTGAACTATCGGATGTGGTATATTATTTATCCTTTCGATTGTTATTATTTTCTTAAGAATTTGTATTATTTATTCTTTAGGTTCGATCTATCAAAGAGAAAATTGCAAATAATAACGATTTTAAAGATAAATATACTGTCGATGCAATGAAATTGATATTTTCAGGAAAAATTCTTGAAGATACTAAAACACTTGAATCATATGCTATTAACAAAGATAGTTTTATTGTTGTCGTCAAACAAACAGTTCCAAAAAGTGGACAGGTATTTAGAACAGAAGAAATATCATCACTTTTTGTACTTTTGAAACGGTTTGTTTATTTTTCGTAGTCAAGTGGTCCGACTCCAGCTCAAGTTGTACCGCCGCCCAGCGACGATGTTACAAATGCTGCGTAAGTGCATATGCATTTGTATAAGAGAGTGAGAAACAGAGCAGATTTATATTAAAACTCATGAATGACTATTCGTTTTAGCACTGGAACAACACCAGCGCGTGCAAGTGCAACAGGATCCAGCACACAGGGAGCTTCAAATGAAAGTACATCCACACCAGCCCCAGTCGGTGCATCGTCTCAGGATACATTTACTTCGAACGAAGCACGTGAAAAAGCAATAACAGAATTAACAGATATGGGTTTTGAACGAGCTAAAGCTGAGCAAGCTTTACGTGCAAGTTACTATCATGTTGAACGAGCTGCTGAATATCTTTTGAGTGTAAGTTCGAATAGGAAAAGTTGGAAGATTTTGTTGATTATTTTTGGTTTTTATTCCTAGGGAGAAATACCGGATACACGTGAATCAGCACCGCCATCATTACAAACGCAATCGTCCGGTCAAGGACAAACCGGACAAACTCGTCGACAACCTAGTTAGTTTTTTGTTATTGAAAAAGTCAGTGCTATAAGTTTCTTCCTCTAGGTGATGAGTTAGCCGATCTAAATTCAAGTCCACAATTTCAAGCATTACGTAATCTGATACAGCAAAATCCTGATCAGCTACAAACATTAATGCAAACATTACAACAAACACAGCCAGGTAAAGTAAAATAGCTGAAAGAAAAGGTTTTTGATCAAGAGCAACTTTTAGTTTAATTTTTTTTCATTCTCTAGAATTATTCCAGGTAACAAAGAAACAATAAAGTTAGTGTGGTTAGTTTTTCAAAAAGTATTTCACATGTTTTAGTTGATTGAACAACGTCCTCAAGAATTTCTCGAATTGTTGAATCAAGCTGACCCAGAGGGCGATGATGATCAAGATTTGCAAGCAGGTCCGACAGCTGGTGCGGTGACAATAACACTTTCACCACAAGATCAAGCTGCAATTAATAGGGTAAGAATATGTGTCGACCTAGTGTTCGCCTGATTACGTAGGGGTTTCCATTTGTAATGCAAGGAATAGATAAACACGTTAGACTAAAAAACATGGCATTGAGAACCTACGTACATTGGCCGGTGACGATAAACTGTTTACCTTCTCTGAATGTGAACTTGAAGATGTTAAACACATGCACTACCATCTGAGGCCGTTTTCAGTAATGGTGACCTGTTTTTGAAAACTCTTCGTAGAATCATGATCTAACGTGAAATGTATCGACTCGGCGATTGTTTTTGTAAGAGAATAAGTCAAAGTTTGAGTTTGAAGAGTTGAAAATCATTCTGTATGTCTCAAACTGCTTTCAAATCGGCGCAAGTCACTCAGTTCATCACTAAGTGATGACTCTAAAACTGCATTGGTCTAAATGTTTATGAACTCTAATTCTCTATATTATAGCTACAAGATATGGGTTTCGAACGTAATCAAGTTATTGAAGCATTTCTTGCTTGTGATAGAAATGAAGAAATGGCAGCAAATTATTTATTGAGTGATTTTAATTAAGCATACATTCAAACATAACATACTAAATTGTCGAATATAGAAAAACGAGAAAATTTTTGTTCTTTACTGCTTTGTACTTAAAGTACTTTGTCTATATACATACGCATAAAACAGTTCAAGTACTGTTTGTTTCTTTTTTTTCTGCTGTGCCATTCGTTCAATGGAACAAAGTATATGTCTGATCATGGTGACCATATAAAGTTGTTTATTCCACCCCAAATTATTTTGTCGACCATAAACATTTTTACATTAAAACAAAATTAACTCTGCTTGGTTGTTCATTTATGTTCAAAAATATTTGGGCTAGTGTACGTGTATATGTGTGATCTAACTCAAAACGTTAAGTGTGAAGCTTAAGATGTTTCTTATCTACCTGAACTGTTGTTTTTTCTGTATCAGAAATGAAATCAACGCGTGTGGTGTTATTTTTTTATATTTGATTTTTATTTTGTTGTCCCGGTATTGAGTTTATTGTCTCTGTCATATGTCCGTGTTTTTTTTGTGCAACAGCAACAACTTAGCGAAATACTAAGAGAATATGATGAGAATATTGGTTATACAAACGCGCACAGTTCTTATATGTTTTTTATCTTTCTTGTCTTTGGCTTCTTTTACAAACAATAAAATATACATACCAGTAAGTTAGAGAAATTTAAATATGATCTTGATATAGAATAAGTTTTGTTTGACAAATCCTTTTATTCGTGGTTGTGAAACTTTAAAAACCATTTGTCAACGAAATAACAATTCTAAAGCTATAGTAAGAACTAATAGTGTATCAAGTGACTATATGTAAGTGCTGTAGTTTGCTGCTTGAAATCTACAGAATTAGTTTTTACTCTTGTGTTCATTTTTTTAAGGCACTAGCTAATTATCATAAGACAATCAAGGAAAAATTCTCTGGCAAAATAGCCGGCACAACCTGAACGAAGTCTTATGATGAAATGATGTGTGGGCATGGGTTGTAAAACAACTTTTTTTCACTTTTGGACAATATTACGATTGTTTTTATTAATATGATTTTGAAAAAGGCTAACACAGACAGTATGGCGATTGCCTTCGGTAACGGAGAGAATTGCAAGAGAAATATAGCAAAAGCTATGAAATATTTTACAAAGAGATTGAATTCAAATCAGGTTTTATGATCAATTTATTTTCGAAGATATATTTAGATTTAGATACGAGAATAAATGAATCCGGGAATTAAGCACAATTCAATCTGTTTACTAATTTCCAGAAAAAAATGCAAATTTTCCTAATTATTTTTAATTTGTTGTATAATAACATAACTGATCTTGGAAAATTAGCAAGCCATGGCATCGTCTTTGAATCTAATGTTTCATTGAACAGCTATATGATCTCTCTTTAACGAAAGGATGTAATTGTATAGATTCCGACTTTCTCTTCGGATCAAGGTAGTCAGAGGCAATATGTGTGCAACTTTTGCTTATTAGATGATTAATCAATTAAATTTATGTAAAAAAAAGAAAATAGCACAGATAGAGGATAGGTAAGGTTTTTACTGTTTCATGTAGTCAAATAAGACACATAATATATAATATAAACAATTTCAGCTGTTTATTCATACTGTAGATCGATGACTTTTGTGTATCGTTTGTACAGGAAATACAATTCGGAACAACATATCTGTAATCTCATTACCTCAGACCATAAGGATGACAGCCGTTATCTTCTATTGAAAAGTATAAAAACGTTTGTAAAAGTAATATTCCTCAAAACCCATAATTGTTACTTCAAAAATGTACTGAAAATGACATTCAAAAATGATACAATTTTTTCTTATCAAAATATTATAATTTGTTACTTATCATCTAGTTGGATCTACGAAAGATGCTCACGTCACAATATAACAAACTCTCATTTATGCTTCTAACAAAGAGACAGGAAATAAAATAGTAACCAAAGAGAGTTCAAAATAATTTTAAATGAAAATATTATTAAATTTTATTCTATGATAATATTAGGTGTTATTCCCATGAGGGCATTTTCGATAAATTTATCGCGATAAATGATATTTTTATCCACCCGTCACCGATTTTTTTAGTATTTATCTAAAAGAAAAATTCATAAAGAACTTTTTCATCGCAGAAATCTCTTTTATCGCGATACCTGTCGATAAATATATCATATTATAATTTGCTATGATTTATCACGGTGAATTTTTCCTTTCGATAAATAGTAGAAAAATCGGTGACGGGTGGATAAAAATATCATTTATCGCGATAAATTTCATGTTAATAACATGAATAACATTAAACGCCGTCTTGGTTGCCGTTGACGGCAACCAACGGCTGTTCTTATAAGGACAGCCGTCCTTAGATTTTGGTCCGAAAATTTTGCAAACCATATGGCCTGATAGAGCCAAGAATTCTGAACCAAATAAGACATCTGCCAGCAGTCTGCTGTGCTTTTTCACCGAAATATTTCGGTGACTTTCACGCCCTTTGTAGCTAATGGTAAATCGACTGCAGTTATATGAAAGAGGACTATAGAATGCCACGAGATGTCTTATTTTGTTTAGAATTCTTTGCTCTATCAGGCCATATGGTTTGCAAAATTTTCGGACCAAAATCTAAGGACTTGGTTTTCCAGCGGTCAGATTTCCTAGAAGCTCTTTTATCAACTTTTCTCATGAAAGGGCGACATGCATCTCTGATAGAAAAATCTTCGGGCTATTCAAAACATTATTCAGATTGGTTCCAGCTTTTACTAAAAAGTCAAAAACAAGGGAGTTCTTGTGATTATGACACACTGTACTGCTTAGATAGCACCCAAAAGCTTCTTTTCCATATCTTTAATGACTGGCCCCACCTGTCTGGATATTGTGACCAGCTTACTTTGTAGAGAATTTCAAGGGCTATCCAATGGTATGTTTTTGAACAATACAAACTTTTTCGTTATGGCAGAAAAACGACTATCAGAGTGTTCAAGGCACTAAGATAGGTGAAAATCATTATATCGGCTAATTAGCCGATATGATTGGACGTTCATAATAATTACCACATCGATCAAAGTGTTGCATTAGCTGGGCGCGAGAAAACAAATTCGAAGAGAAATGGAGTATACTACCAATTCAAACTGCAGCAGAAATTTTCGTGTTCAAAAAGAGGGAAAGAGAATCTCTGGTAAAGAGGAAACATACCGAAACACAATATACCCATGACCCTTGGAAAAACCACATAATACTATAACTAGAAGCTCAATCGTGATAATTTTATCGTGGTTTTTAAAAACCACGATAATTTTCCTCGGAAATTATCGAGATGAATCAGTTATCTTCGGTAATCTTACTAGTTATTGCTATAGCAATAAATGAAAGAACATATATGTTCTTTCATATCGAGACAAAACACAGGAAAATTAATCTCCTCATTCATCGGGATAAAAATTTAACCACGATACTTTTAGCTTCTTGCCGAGATGACCCTTTTATCACGATAATACTCGATAAAAATCTATTGAAGGTTATCGCGATACTTTTGCTTTTGGAGATAAAGATCACACATACAATGATAGTACTTTTATCAAGATAAAGTCCGATAAATATTAATCGCGGTTTATTGACATACTGGTATTTACAATGCTAAATGACTTGTATACCGCGATAGTCTTGCCTACTGCGTTTTATCGAGAGACTGCGATAAACTGCACTCACTTTTATATCGCGATATTTCAGCACATTTAGCATAATATCTCGATATATCGCAAGTTTTCAACAAAAATTACCCTCATGGGTTTGGTCATTAATATTTTGATAGAAATCTGAAATAAGATTATATGAAACAATATTTTTGGGCTCAAAAGTTTGATGCATAGAACAGTTACTTATATTGTTAAGTACATTTTTGAAGTTGAGTTCGGTGTACAGTCATATTTGATAAGATCATATATCATATCATCAATCATAAGTTAGAAACAGATGAATGGTCATCTTATCCGCTGTATTATGAACTGTAATAATTAGATGTCTTATCCTTTTTGGTGCTTTAATCTGATCACTCGGTAAACCCGAACATTTTCTATTTGTAGCAAGATGCCAAAAGTTTAAGAAAAATTTTTGAAACCATAGCAATGTTTCTTCGTCAATTTTTCCTAAACTTTTGGCAATACATCTCGGTACAAATAGAAAATCTTCGGGGTTATCGAGTGTACTGAATACGAAAAAGCACTTTTCCGCAACTCTAAATGAATTTTTGTTTTTACTTAACGCTGACATGTTATCACGTCGATATTATTTCTTTTGTTAAATTTGTGTCAAAGTATTTTGCTGTGATTTCTTTTTGATAATATTAGTGTTTTGTGCAGTTACATCATGCGAGTTAATACGGAATTAAATGAGCCTTAACGAAAGTTCATGTCGCGAGAGTTCGACGATCTACATGCTAGTTTATTTATGTTTTAAATTTGTTGATGCTTTTGTGTCCAATGTTTCGCCAATAAAGTTAGAGTGAAACTATTCTATTAGAAAAGTTACTTATTATTATGAAGATTTATTATCTTATGAAAGTTGTAATAATGAAGCAACCTTGTATCTCTGTGATGATTAATTGAAAGAGTGCAACTATGTTAAACCATTATTACAATCAAGCAACACCCACCAGTTCTGAGTAGTTCGATATCCTCCCTGTAGCTTCAAACCTTCGATGATGTTCACCCATTACTTATTATCAATCACGACTCTAGATAGAAGACTAGATCGACGCAGAGTTCTTTTGTTTAGTTGTTTGAGCTTTTCATAGATAATCACTAACCAGGTTCTAGCTTTCGACAAGCCCGAGGAACTACGTTGAATATTTCACTATAAAACTATGCTACCGGAGGCACACAAATATAGGTAACTGACACAAGCTGATTGCACGGCCAATTCAAGCGTAGTATCTCTCGTATGTGGTGGAGCACCAGGAACTGCAGAAGAAGCCTGAGCACTCGGTGTACTTATCAGAGAACAGGACAACAGAGTAATCTCCTTTTGTTTCTGTAGTTCTTCATGTAAATGCATAAACGTATAAATTCTGTCCCGTTAAGCGACAAACATTGCTTTATCATAACTACTTTTTCAATTAAAACAATCATTAAAACTACACGCACTATTACAACTTTAGCGTCAAATTAGATCTAATATTATGCAAACTGTCGTTAGAGAATCGTGCATACTTTTGCTTTTGGACTTCTCGGGCTGTTTTTATGCTGCTTTTTTGCTGTACTAATCTCATCGATATGCACTTTGTTGTTGTTGTTAGTAATTTTCATGCTTACTCGTTTCGGATAATATTTTTCCACTTCTAGTTGAAAATGTATAATATCAAGAACTGATAATTGATTCGAATCAATCTCATTGTTGGCAATTCTTTGATAATCACTTTTTAGTAAATCGATTGTTTTCGAAGAATTTTGTTTACTCAATTCGTACAATTTTATTATACTTTTTCCATCATAATTTACCAGTAATCTTCCAAATGCAGTCAGACCATTATCTTTACACCATTCGACAACTTGTTTGTTCGTCCACATTGTAAGTGGAATTTCCTGATATTTTTCATTCGTCTCACTTTCTATAACTTTCGATTTAATTGCGTCCATTTTTTTAAACGTTGTTTCACTTCGTAATCCAGCTTGCAGTCTGCTGACATTCTGGTAAATCTTACCCTCGGATCTCCTATCCATTAGTAAATCCCCCCTTTTAGCGTCATCGTTAGTTGTTGACCGTCGGAAATCACTTGTTCTTGTGTCCTGTGCTTCTTCATCCGATGAACTTTTCTAAAGTTTATGATAGAATAAAATATGTTTTCTCATGCTGATCAACTTACCCGACGATCAACTTCAGCGTTCCAGTACGTAATTTTTGTAGTAATGCCCACGTGTGATGTTGGAGATCCAGATTTAAATGTAGTAAAAGTTGGATATTCATAGTTCTCCTCTACATCATCAGCCGCCCCATGCTCTTTTTGAGTGACATCGTCATTTGTTCGATATCTGAAGTCGTTTCTTCTTGTATCCTGTGCGTCTTCAACCGATGAACTTTTCTAAAGTTTATGATGGAATGAAATGTGTTTTCTCATGCTCATCAACTTACTCGACGATCGACGTCAGCGTTTCGGTCCGTAATCGTTTTATGGTTATCAACCCGTGATGTTGCAGCTCCACGTTTAAGTCTGATAATAGTTGCATAGCCATAGTTCTCGTCTACATCATCAACCTTCTCATCCTCTTTTTGAGTCAGATCGCCATTTGTTCGATATCTGAAGTCGTTTGTTCTTGTATCCTGTGCTTCTTCATCCAATAAACTTTTCTAAAGTTTATGATAGAATAAAATATGTTTTCTCATGCTGATCAACTTACTCGACGATCGACGTCAGTGGTCTGGCGCATAATCGTTTTCTGGTTATCCACCTGTGATGTTGGAGAACCAGATTTAAATCTAGTAATAGTTTGATATCCATAGTTCTCGTCTACATCATCAGCCTTCTCATCCTGTTTTTGAGTGATATCCACAGTTGTTCGATAGCTGAAGTGGTTTGTTCTTGTATCCTGTGCGTCTTCAACCGATGAACCTTCCTAAAGTTTATGATGGACTAAAGTACGTTTTCTTATGCTAATCAACTTACTCGACGATCGACATCAGCGTTCAAGCGCGTAATCCTTTTCTGGTTATCCACCTGTGATGTTGGAGAACCAGATTTAAATCTAGTAGTAGTTTGATAGTCATAGTTCTCGTCTACATCATCAGCCTCCTCATCCTTTGTTTGAGTGATATCCTCAGTTGTTCGATAGCTGAAGTGGTTTGTTCTTGTATCCTGTACTTCTTCATCCAACGAAGCTTCCTAAAGTTTATGATGGACTAAAGTACGTTTTCTCATGCTGCTCAACTTACTCGACGATCGACGTCAGCGTTCCGGTACGTAATTTTTGTATCATTTTCCACGTATGATCTTGGAGATCCAGATTCAAATCGAGAAATAGTTTGATAGTCATAGTTCTCGTTTACATCATCAGTCTCCTCATCCTTTGTTTGAGTGATATCCTCAGTTGTTCGATATCTGAAGTCGTTTGTTCTTGTATCCTGTACTTCGTCATCCAATGAACTTTTCTAAAGTTTATGATACAATGAAAAACGTTTTGTGAAAAGTTCCAAGAACTTGTCCGTTTTCAGAAAGAAATGAAACTTGAAGGTTATTTTAGAGCAGTGATTGTTCAAATATTTCGGTTAAAGAAATTTCAGTAGATGTAAATATCATTTCAGTAGCTGAAAATAGTGTTGTTGAAGTTTTGGCATCGAATTTAAAATTGATTTGGGTATTTATAGGTACTGAAATCGGTGTTCACAGCTGCTGAAACAGTGCTACGAATATCGAATATGTTGTTTATAATCGTTAAAAGTATTATTGTTAGCCAGTGGAAAAGTTGGTTGAAGCGGTAACTTATGCAGCTGTGTCAAGGGAAGGTACTGCAAAAAGTTTAGGAAAGATATTTGCAAACAAAGTTTTGTTAACCTTTTGACGGTACTCCTAGTCAAAAATAGGAAATCTTCGGGGTTATCGAGTGCGCTGATACGAAAAAGCACTTTTCCGCAACTCTAATGAACTTTATTTTTATGTGATTTGCGAGTAGTTTCCCCATCTGAAATGATCATATGTGTTTATCCATACGGTGAAAAAAGAGGTGCAGTGTTGAAAAAAAATGCACTTTAGGCACCTTAAAGGCAACCTCATTTTTTTATTAGAAAGATGTTTTCACGTAACGGACGCGTCACGATGCCTTACGAAATCGCCTGAATTCCAGTTTTATGCGCTCATATTTTATAAGACGTTGTGGATGCGTAGTCAAGGCACCTTCAATGCAATTTCCTATGTAAATCAGGCGCATTTTTGATGCATAAAGTAGGGCATACCGCTGTCTTAAAGCATCCAGGATGCATTAAATCCGCTGGGATCACATACAATAGCGGCCTACCATTAAAAACATGCAAAAAAAGAGATCAATAAATTTGTCTTTGATAAAAAAATAGGATAGAAACAATGTTAGTTTCACTTCTTAGATATAGACGGATTAGGAACAAAGGACTCAATTGCTTGTTAGTGATAGGATTTTTAACTTCGCAATATGTCTGAGTGTATGCGTTATGATAACAAATGGACAAAGTACCGTTTCCAATTCAGTTTTCGGTTCTATATAAAGCACTTGGTCAGAAATCATCGGATTTCCCTCACTCCAAAGTTGTTATAAAAATGAAAGCACGTTGTTAATGAATAACTACACTGATATTGGTATGTAGAGACCTTTTCCCTTTTGATAAAGATATATGAAATGTTCGATCTCACAGTGCACACTAAAAAATAATGTGTCGCATGTGTCGCAAATTGCGACATATACTGCGACACAACCATCTGCGACACCGGGAGCCCCTTGCGACACATTCCGCTGGGTATTTCTACCATAGAGAAAACAGTAGAAATTAAGTATTTTCGATCTCTTATTCGATTTTAAGAATATTTTTAGTTCATTTTGGGATGCTCTATTTAATGTCAACAAGTTCAATCCGCCGGTAATATTCACAGGCCTTCAAAATATTTAGTTTCCGAGATCTGGGAGTAATGGCGTAGTCAAGGCCTCTGATCGTTTTTTTTTGCATTAGAGAAAAAATGTTTAACGTAGAAAATAGTTAAAAAAGACCAAGAGAGGGATCTTTATCCACTAAAAACACCAATTCGAAATTGAAAACACTTAGAAAGTTAGAAAATTTTCTTATCTTTTACGTATTAGCGCCACCTATAGCGCATCAAAATTGAAAAGAAGCCGAGAAAAATACTAATGAAGACTGCTGAAAATAGTAAAACATAAAATTGCAATTTTTTGTAGAGATCAGATCCTGAAATGACCTCAAAGACTGTGTCTGAAAGTTCTTAGTAACGGCAACACAATTATGCGACACATTCTTTTGCGACACAATTTTCTCACAGGAGCTGCGACACAAAATGCGGCACAATATTTTTTACTGTGTGCTCTCATACAGAAAACATCTTAATACTGTTCAATACACATGTTTAAATCAATAAACAGTTCGTTCGATACGAACCGGATAAATTGTCCCAAACAGAGATAAAAAAAACTGAGGAACAAAATTTTTGTTCTTTCCCATCTGTTAACTGTTAGTCACTTTAACGTCTTCAAAACAAATGTACCTCTAAGTTGTTGCGTTTTAAGAAAAAGATACTTTAGACGCATTTGATAGACATCATTAATATATCAGAAAACTATAACACACTACCTACGGACAAGATAGTTAGCCGCCCAAAAGCCACGAAGAAATCATGTAGTCACATTCAAGGCAACTATAATGCGTTGAGACTGTTCTAAGACGCAGAGTGATCCTAGTATCTAGTCAAGACCAAGATCTCTAGCAAGAAAAATGGAGATATAACGTTTTCAGAAACGTTTCCTATCTGCGCTGTTTTTTTGGCCACTATCAGATTATTGAACACATGATTTCGAATCTGTTGCTTGTTTACTTATAATGTAAGACATATGATGTTCGAGATTACCTTTAAATGTGAAAATAGTTTGATAGTCATAGTACTCGTTTACCTCTTCAGCCTCCTCATCCTCTTTTTGAGTGACATCGTCATTTGTTCGATATCTGAAGTCTCGTGTTATTGTATCCTTTGCTTCTTCATTCAACGAACTTTTCTAAAGTTTATGATGGAATGAAATGTATTTTCCCATGCTGATCAACTTACTCGACGATCGACGTCAGCGTTCAAGCGCGTAATCCTTTTCTGGTTATCCGTCAGTGATGTTGGAGCACCAGATTTAAATCTAGTAGTAGTTTGATAGTCATAGTTCTCGTCTATATCATCAGTCTCCTCATCCTCTTTTTGAGTCAGATCGCCAGTTGTTCGATATCTGAAGTCGTTTGTTCTTGTATCCTGTGCTTCTTCAACCGATGAACCTTCCTAAAGTTTATGATGGACTAAAGTACGTTTTCTTATGCTAATCAACTTACTCGACGATCGACATCAGCGTTCAAGCGCGTAATCCTTTTCTGGTTATCCACCTGTGATGTTGGAGAACCAGATTTAAATCTAGTAGTAGTTTGATAGTCATAGTTCTCGTCTACATCATCAGCCTGCTCATCCTGGTTTTGAGTGATATCCACAGTTGTTCGATAGCTGAAGTGGTTTGTTCTTGTATCCTGTACTTCTTCATCCAACGAACCTTCCTAAAGTTTATGATGGACTAAAACACGTTTTCTTATGCTAATCAACTTACCCGACGATCGATGTCAGTGTTCTGGTACCTAATTTTTGTATCATTTTCCACGTATGATCTTGGAGATCCAGATTTAAATCTAGTAGTAGTTTGATAGTCATAGTTCTCGTTTACATCATCAGTCTCCTCATCCTGCTTTTGAGTGATATCCTCAGTTGTTCGATATCTGAAGTCGTTTGTTCTTGTATCCTGTGCTTCTTCATCCAATGAACCTTCCTAAAGTTTATGATGGACTAAAACACGTTTTCTTATGCTAATCAACTTACTCGACGATCGATGTCAGTGTTCTGGTACCTAATTTTTGTATCATTTTCCACGTATGATGTTGGAGATCCAGATTCAAATCGAGTAATAGTTTGATATGCATAGTTCTCGTCTCTATCATCAGTCTCCTCATCCTTTGTTTGAGTGATATCCTCAGTTGTTCGATAGCTGAAGTGGTTTGTTCTTGTATCCTGTACTTCTTCATCCAACGAAGCTTCCTAAAGTTTATGATGGACTAAAGTACGTTTTCTCATGCTGCTCAACTTACTCGACGATCGACGTCAGCGTTCCGGTACGTAATTTTTGTATCATTTTCCACGTATGATCTTGGAGATCCAGATTCAAATCGAGAAATAGTTTGATAGTCATAGTTCTCGTTTACATCATCAGTCTCCTCATCCTTTGTTTGAGTGATATCCTCAGTTGTTCGATATCTGAAGTCGTTTGTTCTTGTATCCTGTACTTCGTCATCCAATGAACTTTTCTAAAATTGATGATAGAATAAAATATGTTTTCTCATGTTGATCAACTTACTCGACGATCGACGTCAGCGTTCCGGTACGTAGTTTTTGTGATATCGTTAGTTGTTCGATATCTGAAGTGGTTTGTTCTTGTATCCTGTGCTTCTTCAACCGATGAACCTTCCTAAAGTTTATGATGGACTAAAGTACGTTTTCTTATGCTAATCAACTTACTCGACGATCGACATCAGCGTTGCGGTATATAATTTTTGTATCATTTTCCACGTATGATCTTGGAGATCCAGATTCAAATCTAGTAGTAGTTTGATAGTCATAGTTCTCGTTTACATCATCAGTCTCCTCATCCTTTGTTTGAGTGATATCCTCAGTTGTTCGATATCTGAAGTCGTTTGTTCTTGTATCCTGTACTTCGTCATCCAATGAACTTTTCTAAAGTTTATGATACAATGAAAAACGTTTTGTGAAAAGTTCCAAGAACTTGTCCGTTTTCAGAAAGAAATGAAACTTGAAGGTTATTTTAGAGCAGTGATTGTTCAAATATTTCGGTTAAAGAAATTTCAGTAGATGTAAATACCATTTCAGTAACTGGAGACAGTCCCGTCGCAATATCGGCGTCATCAAATTTAAGGTTAATTTTGGTGCTACTGAAATAGTTTTGCGAATGTTGAATGTGTTGTTTATATTTATTAAAATTATTATTCTTAGCCGATGTAAATGTTGATTAAGACGGTCAGTTATGGGCTTGTGTTGAAGGAAGGAAAACCAGTTAGAACTACGAATTTGTGTCATTTTGTATCAAAAATATAATATCAAAATATTCCTAATTAATATTTCGTTTCTGTCGCATATTTTTAAACAATATTTGGTTGAACAGTGCTTAGACTAAAATGATTATTTCCTATGGAAAATTTTATGGACGAGGCGCTGCTATCTCTGTTTGTTTTAGCCAAATGCTCGTAAACTAGCGCCACAGCCAGACATGTACGCTGATAAAAAATTTTCGGTGGTGACGAAGGAAATTTTTAAGATAGGGGGCGGCGCGAGACTATGAAAACTCCAGGTGTATCTGTACGTTGCCGTATACGAAAAGAGCGAAACGCGCTGGAGATGCCTAAGGGAAGAACGTACTAACAAAACTAGTGAAAATTTTCGGAAAAAAGTTTTCTCGGCCCTCGGCGGCGACAAAAGTTTTTAACGGCATGGTTTGAGACCGCGGAAGTCGCAACAGCTTTTCTCCGTCTTCAGTGGCGGCGGCGCATATCTCTGGTCACAGCATGACTGAGTGATTTGCCAATAGTTTCTCTATCTGAAATGATAATTTATCGTGAGGTGTGCCACTAGTTTATTGAAATGTATCCAATTAGCCACCCTAGCGGCTGTTAAAGAATAGAAAATAGCGCTTATATGTCAGAAAACTAAGTATGAAGTCTCAAAAATTGCCAGATTTTTGGTGTATAAAAAGATAAATATCTATTTATCATAAATAATGTCAATCTCATTATTTTTACTCTAACTCATGTTCCTTCCGTCGCCTAGAGCAAAATTCTTTTTAGAACCGTCGTAAAATTCTCTACAAAATAATGTCTAAACTCGTAAAAAAGTAAATATTGGAAAATTCATAACTAAGTCCAACTACGGTACGAAAAGCACCTCAAGTTTTTGGTGAGGGTGAAACCTAAGTCGGTGAAAATGAACGAAACATTGCATAATTGTACATCAAATTGTAGCTCTTGACGAGTTGATTCTAATGTAAGGAATTTGGTCTCGATCTAACTTTACATTCGAGTGATACTCCATTTACTTGAAAATTTCCTGAAGTTTGATCTCGATTTTCTCCTAAACGCTCCGAAAATTTTTCGAGATTTTTTCAGGATAGAAATTACTTAGCAGGATTTATAACTTTGCCCATACAACTATCCTCGACACTTTCCATTTTTCATCCTCAGTTTTCCAGAAAACAGCAGAAGAAAATGTTTAAGTCGAAAAAAATACCATATGTACAAAGTTTTCATGTTTTTCGCCTTTCGTATAATTTGCTTAGTTTTCTTGATTGAAGTTCTGAAATTAAAGTTTAGGTATGATCTTTTAGAGAATTTTACGGCGGTTCTGTTAAAAAAGGAACTTGCTACACCGAACCTAAGGAACAGGAGTTAGAGCAAAAATATCGAGACCAAGATTATTTATGGTACATCCGTTAGAGTGTCTAACTTTCACAGTGCATACATGGATTATGCGCCACTTACAACGTGCTTGATTTTAAGACAAAAGAAGAATTAAAAAGAACATAAATCATTTTCAAGACTACAACAGTTGCTACGCTTCCATCTGTTCACTTTTTTTATCTCCAGCAATACCGATAAATACATCTTCTCAACGTATATTTCATGGCTGACGACCTTATGAATATGTTTAATCAATTTTATCGAAGTTTTCACATTTTTTCCTCCAAAGGAGCAACGCTAACAAGGTTTTTCCATGCTGATCCACTTACTCGACGATCAACTTCACCGTTGTGGCGCGTAATCTTTTTATCGTTATCCACCTGTGATGTTGGAGATCCAGGTTTAAATATAGTAATAGTTTGATATTCATAGTACTCGTCCACATCATCAGCCTCCTTATTCTCTTTTTGGGTAACCCACATATCAATTGTTCGATATCTGTAGTCTCTTGTTCTTGTATCCTGTGCTTCTTCATCCGAACTTTTCTAAACTTTATGATGGAATGAAATGTGTTTTCTCATGCTAATCAACTTACTCGACGATCAACTTCAGCGTTCTGGCGCGTAATCGTGTTATCGTTGTCCACGTGTGATACTGGAGATTCAGGTTTAAACACAGTAATAGTTTCATATTCATAGTACTCGTCTACAGCATCAGTCTGCTCATCCTGTTTTTGAGTGATATCATCAGTTGTATGATATCTGAAGTCGTTTCTTCTTGTATACTGTGTGTCTTCATCCAATGAACTTTTCTAAAGTTTATGATGGAATGAAATGTGTTTTCTCATTCTGATCAACTTACTGGGCGATCGGCGTCAGCGTTCTGGCGCGTAATCGTTTTATCGTTGCCAGTTTGTATTGATGAAAATCCATATTTGAAGTCAGTAATATTCCGATATACGTCATCCTCGGATCCTCTATCCATTAGTACGTTCTCCCGTTTAGCGACGTCAGCAGTTGTTCGATATCGGAAGTCTCTTGTTATTGTATCCTGTACTTCTTCATCCAATGAACCTTCCTAAAGTTTATGATGGGCTAAAGTACGTTTTCTTATGCTAATCAACTTACTCGACGATCGACATCAGCGTTGCGGTATATAATTTTTGTATCATTTTCCACGTATGATCTTGGAGATCCAGATTTAAATCTAGTAATAGTCTGATAGTCATAGTTCTCATTTACATCGTCAGCCTCCTCATCCTGGTTTTGAGTGATATCATCAGTTGTATGATATCTGAAGTCGTTTGTTCTTGTATCCTGTGCGTCTTCATTCGATGAACTTTTCTAAAGTTTATAATAGAATGAAATATGTTTTCTCATGCTGATCAACTTACTAGACGATCAACTTCAGCGTTCTGGCGCGTAATCGTTTTATGGTTATCCACCTGTGATGTTGGAGAACCAGATTTAAATCTAGTAATAGTTTGATAGTCATAGTTCTCGTCTACGTCATCAGCCTCCTCATCCTGTTTTTGAGTGATATCATCAGTTGTTCGATATCTGAAGTCGTTTGTTGTTGTATCCTGTGAGTCTTCATTCGATGAACTTTTCTAAAGTTTATGATAGAATGAAATACGTTTTCTCATGCTGATTAACTTACTCGACTATTAATTTGAATGTAATCCGGAGTAGTTGTTTCACTATTGGCTATCGTTTCAATTGTTTCGTCTAAATTCTGGAGTAGTTGTGTTATAATGTAGGTAAGTTGTTCATTAGTGTTATTTATGTCGTATAGTTGATAAAGTGTGAGTTTAAATTCGGTATTTTTTTTCAATTGAGTTTTAATGTGATCGTGGAAAGATAATGCCCAGAGGATATGATAAGCCGCAGCCGCTGTGGGACGATATAGCACATCATTCAGTTCACCGTAATATTTGGCTATATGTATAAACAGTTGCAGTTTGTCTTCTGTGCTGGCGATTATCTGTTGGACATGTGGCAATTTGGCAATTTGCAAAAAAGTGTTTAATAATATTGTGGGCACATTATTGCAGTTAACAAAAGCTGATTTAATATAGCCGATGAGTTTCTCTACCATAGTCAAAGTAGATATTGTTAAATTAATTGTTAACAGCACATTCATCATTGTGTTAATTCCGATATTTGATGTCGAACTTAATTTCGAGAAATTATTATTATCTTTTATTGCTTGACGTATTAGTATGTCTAGAAAAGAAATCGTTGGATAAAAACATTATATTTGATCACTGTGTCTAGAAGCAATGAATGGTTCGTCAATTGTGGACGATCCTGATTATATGGTCGTTATCAACAGAATCTACCAGTATATAGGAGAGAATTCGATCAATTAAAATTGTTTGATTATTTATCCATGTTGAACTGATACTCGAATAATATTGTTCATCTAACACTATTGTCAATAATGATACAAGTAATTCTTCATCTCTTTTATGTTGGTCCATGTTAACTAATGCATAATTGATCAAATAAGTAATAATACCGATTACACAATAGAGAGAATTACTATTTTGATTTTTTGAATAATTGATTAATATATCACGATAAATTGGTAAATAATGTTCGATTAATGATTCTTTATTATTTGTTTTATCGATTGTTTTACATGATAAATGAATACCCATTGAAAATGTACATGTACCAATGTAGAACACATGCTTTGGTGTAACATTTTGCAAATCTATTGTTGCTAATTCGCGTAGATACTGTTCATATTCATCTGATAATAATATTTTTTCAATTTCATTATTTAATAATAAGAATTTATTTTCTGTTTCACGACTGAAACAATTATGCTCAAAGTGTGATATAGCATCAAATATAGAATGAATATTTTCTAACAATTTTCCATCCAGGTCATGGATATTAATTAGTATACTGATGAGTATATTAAACACATCGTTATTATCATTGAAAAATACTAATGTTTTAACAAGATCAACGTCTGCGTTTAGTTGTAATGATAAAGCTATTTTGATGTTTAATAAACCAACATTATTTAAAAATTTCAATTTTTCATCATTGAAATTGATTCTTTCTTTATGCCATTCTTTTAATAAATATCCACCAACATATTCAATTAGTTGAAATGCTGTACGTTTTAAAAGATATAAAAAGACGGCATCAGACGTCAGATTTAAACATGCATTAATAAAATCATTTAATTGTTTAAAAGTAGCACTATCAAATGATGACATTTTTCGTATTGCATCATAATTATCTTCAATAGCCGTCAATTGATTGATTAGTGGAGCTGGCATTTATATACTCTACTACTACAATTACCACAAGTTTTCTACTTTGTTTACTTAAACAGACAACACTACTAAAAGACGTTAACTCCTTTAACTCTTATCAAAGGTAAATATTAGAATGGGAGGAGTGAAAAAAAGCATTTTTTCTCGATAGAGTTTATGTTATACACGGACTCGAAAATAGTTTTTTTTTACAAAGGGTAATTAAACCACAACGTTATTTATAATCTTCTGCAGAAGTCGACCTGCTGAAGGCAGAAATCTTACTAAATAAAAAATACGTGCTGAAAATCCCGCAAATTCCTCTACCATCTACAAATGATTTCTCTGTTACTACTAAAGAAAAGCTTGAAACAAATAGAGATTTCACCTGCAGATCTATTTTTTGATGCTCTTTCGCATGGTGGGAGAGAATTCTGTGAAAAGTTGGGCAACAGTTGGGCTCAAATCCGCTTTTTCAGACCTCCTAGAAAACTCTCAAAATCTGAAACTCAGTTTTGACTAGACAGTCGGAAGGAGCATCAGATTCTGAAGAAAATGAGACGTCAAACATCTCTCTACGACATTCCTGAGCTGAGTTATAATTGTTGACATTTTCTATAGCTTTTTGACTTAACGGTTGCGAGCGCTATTTGACTCGAAAATGTTAACGATTATAACTCAGCTCAGGAATGTCGTAGAGAGATGGTTGACGTCTCATTTTCTTCAGAATACTGAGACGCTACACTGTGGAGAAAAGGCACTCAAATTTCTACGCTACTTTCTCTTTTCTTCTGAGCCAAAGGATAGTGTTCAGAAAATCTTCAACTCATATAACATAGACACGTTCACGTACAGAATTGGATGGACGTGTCGAAAAACGAAAAAATAAAGATTTTCAAGTCGGTTTTTCTCAGTCCCGGAGCGCTAAATCATCCAGGACCTTGCACAGAGTTTCACTTCAGGAAAGCATTATAGAAGAAAACTGGAGGGACAAAAATTGTTCAGAATCAAATTTTACATCGGATGAGCGGAGGAAATTTTGAAAACACGATTTTTAAATCGAAATTTACGAAAAATTAGGCTATTAAAAAGTGTTTTGGGATTTAAAAATCGAATTTTCGAAATTTCAGAAATTCATTTCAGATTCATTTTATAATGAACTTTTTTACAAGACATGAATGAAAATTGAGAAAAGTGTGACGTAGCTAACCCTAGTAGCATTCCCGCTTCATTTCGCGGCCAGAATACAGCCTCATCTTGCCGCGATTTTGACAAGAAATTTGAAACTTAATGCGGGATCCATACCGCGACCGTACCTAATCTTGCTATTTTTCCCGTGTAACGAAAATTTGACAATCTTGACACGAAAAGTTTTTGACGGGATCGCGCTGAAACCCTGCAAAGATTGTAACGGGATCCGGGCAAGATCGTACCAAGATCCCGGTATGATTAGAACAAGGTTGCAGGAAGGCTGAGAAAGCTTTCCTACCACTTATCTGATTATCACTACATTGTTTCGATAGTTTAATCTCTTTTCTACCAAATTTCATCATGTTTTACTCGGTATTTTCTTCGAGAACATGAAGTAATTAGACATTTTCTCCAAGAGCACCTTCAGAGTACACAGCAATTTATTTTTTTTGTTTTAAGTTATAAGCTCCATTTCATTTCAACGTCATAAAGTTGAACTATTATTAATTTGCTCATCTAAAGTGTGATATTGTTTTTGCCGGTGAGAAGTTTTATCTCAGATGTATCTTTAGCTTCTTCATCGGTGTATTTTTCAGTTCTGATTCGAAACGTTACTGCCGTTGGATCTCAGAATAGAAGTGAGAGGGACTGTCTTTGTGTTTCATCTGTGAGTTGTGCCAATAAGGTAACGTTTGCCGTATGTGAAGAAAACATTCACTCTTGAACTTCCAGTGAATGTGCATCTGTAGATATTTGACACTCGGATCAGTTCACTGCTAGATCCAATCTAGCGTCCTGTGATTGAGGTGCTCTGGCTGTGCCGCTATCCTCTGTGCATCAAACAGGATCGAATTGATCGTTGCTACATTCTGAAAGACTCAAACGACAAAGCGATCTTACACCGAAGTAACCCACAATTTGTGATACTTCAACCTTGTGCATTTCTCTTACTGTTGTGACTTTTCATTCTGAGATCTCTGCACAGTCAACATATTTAACTGAACCTACACACCGGAGAAGACTTTAGATTTGATTGAACTGAGACAAAAAAATTAATTTCCTCTCCGAATGCTCTTCTCTCTCGAAAATTGTTGTGTACTTACTGATGACAACAGTCAAACAGTTAGTCTATTTTCATTAACTACAACAAAACCCAAAAAACACTGGGAGAAAAACACTCGTTACACTGCGTTAGACAGTTAAGAAATAACTATAATTGACTTATATTGTATATATATAATAGATATATATATCTATTATATAAAGTTATGTTAAAAGAGAACAAAGAATAAACACAGTGGACGATGATATACATACACTGTCTGTCTGTCTGTTTTTCTTCTTCTATTGACGGATGGACGAAATAAAAAAATATTACATCGTTACTGACTGAGATAAAGGCATCGGTTTGCAAGAAAACCAATTTTTCAGAAACTCTAAAAGATAACCAAAACTTTTCTGAATGAGGCATAATTGTAGCCCGCACATTTCTGATTAAAATGAGACATCTCTCAGCTCTACATGACCTTTCTTTGCAAAGTTAGAGAATTTATAAGAAGAGCCTTAAATGTTCATTGCCAGCTCAAAGCTACAGAAATAAGAAGAAATTAATTTAGGGCTTTTCTTGTAAATTCTCTAACTTTGCAAAGAAAGGTCGTGTAGAGCTGAGAGATGTCTCATTTTAATCAGAAATGTGCGGGATACAATTATACCTCATTAAGAAAAGTTTTGATTATCTTTTAGAGTTTCTGAAAAACTGGTTTTCCAGAAAACCGATTTCTGGAGGCCAAGACGCCCAAACCACTTATGATATTCGGATTCAGCACATTCGATTACATATTGTCCACTAGGTTTCGTGAAAAAAGCGGTCGGACAGTTAGAGTGGTTTCCTCGTTAGTTGAATATATTTAACTAAGTTCCTCCTGTTATAATGGATCACAGTTCGCGATTTTTTTAAATATTTTTTATTCTTGTTATAAACTTCATTTCATCATCAGCATTACTGAAAAACAAAATACTTGAATGAAAATAATAACGTTCAAAAGTTGACGATAAAAAATAGGAACGCTATTCTAATGATAATAATGTAAGAACATGAAAAATCTGCAATAGAAAGCAGATAAAAATGCACCAGAAGTTGAAAAACGTTAAACAGACACGTACACACATAAACATATATACTGGATAAATTGAAAAAGTGATTGGACAAAATAGAAAACTAATGGATATCGGATATATGCATTATAGTTAGTTTATTCCCATTTTCGTCTCATTCGACATCCAGACCAGTGTGAATGTAGATGACTGTGATGACTGCACGACATTTGTACCAGACAGCGATACTAATAGTTGTTTAAGTTCAATCATCTAAATGAATAAGTAGTTTAAAGTATTTTTCTAACTATGTAAAGTCAAACAGCAATTTGAATGAATCCGTTTTAATATTTGAAATGTCTGTCACTGTGCATTCAGTAGAATCTATGATTCATACCTAATAATACCCACGAACATTGACATAAATTGCATAAAATCGGATCAAACTTATTATCAACGATGTTACTTGTTCATATTGAAGATAATACGGGTTGCTAGTAAAATCGACGATTTTACAAAAGTGAATCAACTCAATTTTCTACTTTGACATAGAATCAAATTAGAAATTAGAAACACTATAAAATGTTTGACAATTTTATAGTCAATTTCCCATAAATTAGATAATAAAAACTTTTAACAATATGTTTATAAGTAAACTACCTTAAAGTACAAGAAAAGTAGTCTCGAGGATTACGCGGGTAGTAAGGGCCAGTTCAAGTTTTCAAGATTTGAGCTTTTCTGTAACAATAAACACGGTTGTAAAACAAAATTTATTCAATACCTTCTGTTGTAATTTTCTCTCTTTATTTATTTCTCCAAAACTTGGAGAATGATGATTTCTCTCACTAACAAGATTACGTCCACAAATAATATCAGAAAATCAATAGCGTATTTCTTTCGGCAAAATTGATCTGTTGATTCGAATCTCACGTGATATATTTGAAAATATCCTTCCATAAAAGATGCTGTTAAATATTGAAAGTCTATTCATCCGTTTTGTTGTTCTAAGAAAAGTCAAAATTTTTGGTTATTTTTATCTTTTAATAAACTCTCATATAAACCGTTTTGTTTTCTAATCAATCGAATATTATTCATTTCAGAATAAAATCACATTGAATGAAAAATAAAAGTCTTTGTTAGTTTATTTTGTTTGTATATTTCTCTTATAAAACGAAACAAATTTTGCATAGTAAAATAGCATAATTACTCTGCTTTTAGCAAGCAGTAATTAATTGTTCACCTTTTAATCATAAGATGAAAGAAGAAACGAAATTCTTTCCAGTATTTACGATTTTAAAAGAAGATGTAAAAATGTTTACTATTTTGCATTCTTGTGGTTGATGATATAGAACAGATTTATTAGCGTAATTCTTGAAGTTTTCAACATAAATTATTCTATTCGAATGATGAAGAAGTTAGTTAATAAAGCAGGGTAAGTGCATTATAAACTCGATTCTATAGTTTGATGGAAGATATTTTATGATTTTCTATTTTTTTTTATTTATAAAATTTTTTATATATTAAAAAAAAACTGAAATAGCAGTAAGAAATTTTTTTTAAAAAGAACATACGGCAATAAAAAGAAAAAAAAAATTAAATATACGTATGATAGATGTATTTTTTTTCTTCTAATTTAATACACGCACACATTCACTGCTGCCGCTGCTGTTGCTGATTCTGGCTGTTTGCTAATATAAAATGCTGATAAAAGAAGTAAAATAAATTGAAAGGAAAGAAAAAAAAGAAATAAGAGATGTTGCTGAATGCCACTATTATTAAGCCCAATAATAATAGTAATAACTGATGATGTTGATAAACGATATATATATTTAATAACCAGATAATTCGTTGAGTGTTTGATCGAGTTCTTCGCTGACACCTTTGTATTTTTCTTTTTCGGCCAAAAGTTCGTCTATAAAATATAAATTTCAATTAGTTTTAAATACAGTTTTTTAACATAAAATTTAAAGAATAAAATCTTACTGATTGATAAAAAAGATTAAAACATGGAAATATATTTACACAAACATTAAAGAAAAATGAATAAAATAAAATGAGCAAGCAGGATAAATAACATAACACATATCAAAGTACATTCTGCAAATCATTAATCATTGTATCCATTTCACGTTGTAAACTTTTACTTCGACTGCATGCCGCAGTTATTGCGTCTGAAATATATGGAGGGAAAATACGCACATCAAACATCATTTCATGCAGCATGGTTAACGACTATTACTGCTAGAGAGGTAAAAAGCTTTTTTAAAAGCAAGATAGTGCAGTTATATGCAAACTAAATTCCACAAAATTAGAAATATCACGCTTTGAGAGTTTTTTTTCTACAAGTTTATCAAAACGACCAAACGTTTTTGCTCTTGGTTCAATGAGATGTGATTCTAAAATACTGTTATGTTATAAAGATGGGCGTGTTAATGCAAAGTGAAACAATTGACGTAGTCAGAGAAGAGCAAATTCTCCCAGATTTTCATTGCAAATGTTTTGAAAAATTGTATAATCATCAAATAGTATAGGCATTCGAAAGTCTCCCCGAAAGCACTAGTAGAACTAGTAATTTTTTGACTACGTATTGATCTGATCGTAGCTATCTTGATTTTTTTTTTTTTTTTTATAAAAGCAAAGCATTGTGATGGATGATACCTTGTAGTTGATCTGCTTTTCTCTGTAAAACAAGCATCGTTCTGCCAGCATACTCAGCTTTTGCCTCAGTCTATAGTTTTAAAATAAAAAATAAAAATATAACACAAACAATAAACACCATGCACAAACAGAAACAATAGAACATAAATGTAGATATGCACATACAGAAACTTTCTTAACTATGCTACAACATCAAATACATGCAGCTCAAATCTCGAATCTAAAGGGACAGACATGTTACCTTCAAGACGGTCGACCTCCTTTTGAAGTTTAGCCATTGTACGTTCAGCTAAATCAGCTCTTTGTTCCGCCTATAGACAATTTTTGCTCATTATACCAACAGACATACATACACACACCCACACATTCACACATATACACATTGTATTCCACTACTTACATCTTTAAGACGAGTTGTTAAATCTCGAATCTGTTCTTCGTAACTTTCTTCACGTTGCATAGCCTAAATAATAGCACATATCTCTTGATATCCAAATAGGACAATTAATCATAACCGGATATATTTTTTCATGCGGGAAAGAATCAAACAAAGGGTATAAAATGTATCTGTACCTCTTGTTCAGAAACTTCCAAAGATTTCATATTGTTACCGACAACCTTTAATTCTTCTTCAAGTTCCAAAATTTTGCTAGAAAAATAATATAAAACTTTATCTAAATACCTTTGTATAATGAAGTTCTTTTGCACGTAATTCATAATGTATATGTTTCAAATCTTCTTCAAACTTTGCAATTTTACTAAATAATATAATAACAGACACATGCAATGAACAAAAACACATGCAAGAATAATAACGAATAAAGGTTGGTCGACTCTTGTCAATCATAGAATATAAAAACTGTCCTCTGCATATTCTTATAAAGATAATATTCCCTGAACGAGCAAATATAGAATTTTACTATACAAACTTGTCGGTATGTTTTTCGCAGTCATTTGGTTGATATTTAGACTCTTTAAATGTCGCATGTAAATGCGTATCATTAAAATGAATTCCCCCCCTCCCTATGCTTCGTGTATACTGCTGTCAATGAATTAATAGTAGAAAATATGACAAACTTACGCTTCTGATCTAGATGCTCGCTCCTCGACTCTTTCTAATTCATTGTCTCGTATTTTCAATTTACGTACTACCTATTGAAATGAAAATAAATAAATAAAAAAACACACATGCACGAATAGGAATACACAATAGATGCAATATGTAAAGTATTTGACTAATGAGTGAAAACGGGAGCATGCATTGACTTCTTCTCAAGCAAAAGAAAACATAATCCAAATAGATATAAACAATTAGCTAAATCAGCACGGCAAAATCATTCATTATCCAATTAACTTACGCCTCAGCGGCTTCAGCCCTATCCTCAGCTCGCTCTAAGTCAACTTCCATAATTGCTAGACGACGAGCAACCTGAATTTTTTAACAGAAAAAGAACAACAATAAGATTATTATTTCCTAACAAAAACGATTACTAGAAAAAATATATCATATTGATGGTAATCATGCAATGACTAAACTAAAGCAATAATATTTAATAACCATTTTGTGTTAGCAGTATTACAAAAAAAGCAAACATTTGTGCAAGAGATGAGTATAATGCTTTTTTTATCAATCGGTTGTTGATATTTAGAATATGAAATTGATTTCATCATGCTTTTAATATTCTACTAAGTACGCTAATCTAAACGAAAATTTTAAATCATGCTTAAAGAAAACTGAGAACATTGATATTTTTTATTATCTTCCATATAAACGAAATATCATGCACAATTTCTCACACATTAATAAACAAATCACCTCATCATATTTTCGATCTGAATCTTCAGCAATAAGTTGAGCCTCTGCTAATTGTTGTTCTAATTGTGCAAGACGTTCATCATCTTGATGTGTACGCTGTTCAAGTGCTTTTCGGCCACTATAGACAAAAAGTAGATATACTACAACAATAAACAGATAGTTTATAAAATTTTTAAGAAGCTACCACGTTAGCAACAATAGAATATATTGAAGCAATTTCGATTGTTCAAATGAAAACAAATAAATTAACTATCGAAAAAATAGAATCAATAAGTAGACTACAAGACAACAACAAATAATCTCCCTATAAAAACAATGTGAATGAGCTTCAGTGTGATTTCTAACTACTTTGTTAACGTTAGTAATTAATTTTAGCAGTTAAATTTTAATGTTTATAATATTATCATACTACCTCGTCATATTTCCTATCGTTTGTAGCTGCTACTTGTCTTGTCTCTTTGAGTAATTGCTCAAGATAATCATATTTATTTCCATCCTTCGATACTCTTTCATCAAGTATCACACGTTTTCTGCATGCAAAACGATAAATAAATTTTTTTTGATAAGGAACAAAGTGAGAAAGAACAACTGTGAACTTCATTTGTTAAATTTTTATCTTCTATTGCGCTAAGTAATTTAGGTTAACATAAAATAAAGCTTACCGTTCACTTTCGTCAGCAGCTTGTGAAGCTTCGTCGAGTTTCGATGTTGCTTGTAATAATCTTTCTTCAGCACGTTCCAAATCTTCTTCAACTAATTGTAAACGACGGCCGAGGGCAGCAACATCAGCTTCAGCCTAAATAAACACTAGTCTAATGAATAATGCCAACATGTACGTTACTCAAAAAAATTAAAAATAAAAACTTTCAATTCAGCGCATACTTGTTCTTTCAAACGTTTTTCATGTTCTCGCTCTACTTTATATTCTTGCAATTTATCTTGTGAAAAAGCAAGCTCATCTTTTGACTGTTGCATACGACGTTTTATCGTTTCCATTACAGAAGCACCAGTACTACCAGCAGTATTTGAATCAGTATGATTGAAAAAGTCACTCATAGACGAAGATGTATGAGTTTGATTAAATGGATTTGTATTCGCAGAAGAAACAGGTTTTGATACAGAACGTAGAGTACTCCCATTAGAAAATGGTGATAAATTTGTAGTACCAGACATCTTTGAACTAGATCAAAACGCTTCAGTAGTGTAAGAGACCTAACACTACTTTTTTTGGAAAGCGAAGGAAACAAGCAAAAAGAAAACTGCATCAGCAGGCAAGCAAGTCAGCTTCTATCACTAAACGATGCGGCCAATAGGAAGAAAGTGCATAACTAGTTTTTAATGTAATAGTCTATAATAGTTACTTAGAGAAAAAGTGAATTACAAAAATCTACGAAAGAAAACAGATGAAAGATAGGACGTACAAATTCGTTTTTTTTTCAGCATTTAAAGACTATTACTTAGATTACGTTCCGTTTTAATGGCGACGAGTGGCTTATTTCAACTGATCTTACTTACACATAAGTTCCAGCACTAATAGAACACAATACCTGTTTTAAAACGCTTATGATATCTCCGACTTCTGCTTGTATAATAGATATTTTTAAATTAAATGTAATTTGTGATGAATAAGCCGAATTATTTGGATGATATATTTCAAAACCCGGTTTCACTCGACGTCTTGATGTTGATTTTTGTTTTTCTTTATTATAATGATTAGTGTCATTTCTATTATATTTAGAAGGAGAAAAGTTTGACTCGTTCGTATACTGAATATGATCTTCGGCTCCATCTGGCGGCGAACGAGTGTAAAGAGCGATTGATGAACAAGAAGAAGATGTAGATGAAGAAAAATTGGAATGTTGATTATTGATATTATTGCTCTCTGAAGACAATAAATCTGTTTCAGATGGAGCTAACTGTTGATATTCTCTTAAAATTTCATAATCTGATATTTTTTGACGTATTTGTTTTATTTTTTCATTGTGTAATATATAAGTGATTGCTTCATCACGACGTTTTCCCGACGGATAATGTACGTCTGGTAAGGTATACTGTTGAAAACGTGGTTGTTGCTGTTGTTTTGAAGTATATTGATAATGTTTATTTTGTTGTTGTTTTCTATTTTGATTATTGGACTTATATTGATGTGAAGAAGGCGTTGGTATATGATGAGGATGCCGTTTAGCTTGATGTTCTTTAAAAAGATTATAAAATTCGATGGCATTTATTTGCCCTGTAGATAATAATGTACTTAAATTATCGTATGCTTTAGTTTGTCTGTTATGCATAGTTGTTATTGTTGTTATTATTATTATTTTTTATATAGAAAAGAGTTAGAGTAAAGTTTATTGAATTTAGGCGTCGAAGTTAGAAAGAGGGTGAGTTATATGTGTTAATCAGTGAACGATGTTTGGTTTTTATCTTATATTACTCGTTGATATAATTTTTTCCTAGTGTTTTATCTGTTCTTTCTATCTTCACTCACAAACGCGTAGGAAATATTTTTCTTCCATATTTTTTTTGTACAATATTTTTCCTTTCAACTCGGTACATTTTTATACATTTCAGAAGAAAAATACACATACATACAGAGAAAGTTCTATTCATGTAATGGAATATTATTATATCGTTAGATATCGTAAATGTAGTATAGAAGAAGAAAAGAATTGATTAAAGACACACCCAATACACTGATAACGACGAAACTGTTCAATGAAACTAATTTGTATTTCATACTAGAGATCTGAGGAAAGAGTTATATATCTGATTGAGAAGAGTAACACTAACACAGAATATGGTATGAACTTCTTTCCTATTTTTCAACTTACATCAGTGGCTTTTTTCTCTGAACCTTCTAATTTACCATTTGCTTCTGCCAATTGTTCTTGTGCTGTATCAAGTTCAGTATCCAATTGTTGAATACGTTTTTGAAGACCATTAATTTCTTCTTCCGACTAAAGGACAAGTAAATATAAAATTTATAAGCGGATAAGATTAAAAGATACGTACATTTTTAAGTTTTTCTTCGAAATCTTTTTGACGATTTTCAGCCTGATCAGCTCGATCAATGGCATTTTCTTTTTCAAGCTTCATAGCTTGCATTTTCTTTTTGATGGAATCCATCGTCGCTGTTGTATTTGTATTGGCCGACATGGTTTTAAATTTTTCGTCTATTTACCTATACTCAAACACTATCTGAAATATGTAAAAACGGTACCATACACGACTTTTCAATAGGCTTTTTCTGTCAGAGTTTGTATAAAAGGAAAACTATTATTACAAAATATTCGGCTCTCGTGATGATAGCAGTGCATCAAAATACATCGAAATACTATTTTTATCTCAGTAGGAATAATATTTTTTTTAGAGATAATAAAAGATACAGACGTGGTATTGATCGCCTAACCATATCCGTCATTTGCTCTAGTTCAAAAACCGACCAGTTCTAGTATGGATTTATGTAGAAACTGGCACTGAAATGTACCAGATCTTTGTAGCAAGACGTGCTCGATTGCTGTCTTCTCTTCAACCAGTTTTTGGAATAAATAACAGACGAATGAAAAAGATACGTCTAATATAAATATAAAGTATAAAGCTTGATGAAAGAGAGAGATGAGAAGAAAAGATAGGCAGGGTCAACATTTTCCAAGAAAAAGGAAGCTATTTGCAATTTGATGTAACTTCTTCATTGGTTGATGTATTGTCAGTTAAGCACTACCTCAAGTGAACTGCAAAAGTAATCTAAACGGTGTAAAATGACACATTTTTACAAGAAGCGTGAACTTCAGTTTACCCTATAACATCCTGAAACTCTTACCTAAATTCAATGGATTTTTTACTTGGCTATGCTGACCGTATCCGAAGGTTAAAAATCGTCGTTTCGACCGATGGTATTATCTACAATACAGATTAATTTACTGACTAGGTGTAAGATAGTTTATCTAACGATTAAACTAATAAGATAAAGAAAAACTTCGAACGTTGGACGTTTTCTTTTTCAAAAATAACCAAATATTTATGATTATATGACTGGACATAGTATTTCAGAGAAGAAATCAGCACACCACTCGTTGGAATACACAACCGAAATAACAGGACAAAATGCCAGTAGTCGTTTGTTTTAAAAAGTAGAGATCAAATGCAACTTTTACTACTAAAAAAACGAATAAATTTTATAGTACTCAATAAACCTCGTACTGAGAAAAATCAGAGCGTCAGAGAAAGCGAATAAATTTATTTCTATCTTAGAGAAAACGTATAATAAATCCCCAGCGCATGGTATTAGTGCAATAATAGGTTACCTTATTTTCAGGAGTAAAGCAAGTACTATTGAAACTAAAATATAATTTAGAAAGCGATAATGCGTACGGTTTATTGTTGTTTTTTGTTATTGTATAGCTGGACACAACAATTTTCAGAGAAAAAAATTAGCGCAACATTCAACTGTGTACACAAACGTTTCTCTAGCTTGTTGTTTTTCACCAACCTAAGATGAGGTGGTGATGATGATCTGAGGGCACACAAACATACACAACAACTAAGGAAGAAAAAACCACGATCGAATAATAAATATCAAGACGAAAAAGAGCAACTGGAAAAAGAAGAAAAAACTCGTCTCTAGTTTGTTTTGTATAGAGATTTGCAGATGTGACGTTTATTTCATATACCACAATTCTTATGTATATATATATATATATATACCACAATAGCAGGAAAAATAGATAGAAAAAAAAATAGATAAAAATTTATTATTAGTTACGTATAGATTCTCTACTACGCTGTTTACTTATCATCAAGAAGAAGAAATTTGTACAGTTATTTATTGATGAGGGTATTTCTTTAACCACGCATGTACCATTTCTTTTTTTCTTTTTTTTTTTCCAGTTTTCCGAAATATTTACGCCTCTTCCATTTTCTTAACGATGATAACAAATTTTCTCTAGTCCATATTAAATCAAAAAGCAAAGTTTTTCTTTTTTTTTCTTTTCTCGCATGTAATTATAGCTGTTTATTATTACTTACTATATGTTGTAGAAGATAATAATAAAGAAGAAACCTTGTTGATATTACCCATTATTTTTCTTGGAAGTATAAATGCTGCTGTTAGTGAAGGAAACATTTATACAAGAATTATTATAAGAAGAACTCGTGTGTTTAAATTTAGCAACAAGAGAGAAAGAAATATCGCATACAAATACTATCCAGACTGCATATACACACACATAGTTTTGTATTATTTTTACATATTGTCTACAAACGTTAACAACATTTTTTCTCTCATTTCCAGATTGAGAAAAAATACATATCTTTTCTCATCATTTTTAGTGCCTAACGGAAACGAAACAATTATAGAAGAGATCATATTACTTTTTAGTCTATTTCGGAAAAATGACATGTTTTCCATAGTTTTTTAGAGTAGGAGCGGAAAATGTCTTCTCAAAAATTGTAAAATCTTTGTACCAGAAACAAAACTGTCTAGAAACGAAAAACATATAAAGTGGGCAGCTTTTTCAAGATCATAGAAATTTTCAAGCTCTGTTATGTAATCTGAAGATGAAATATCGTGCAGATGCCATAAGCTCTTTTTATACCTGAGAAAAAAATCAGAAAAATAGTACATAATGCACATGAAATTAGACAGAAAACTTGTTAAAAATTGTTTGAAAAATATGGGGGTAGTTGTAGATCGTCACCAGGAGTAATAGTGGATATGATATTGTTGTCGCAATAGAATGCTTCATTGGTAGACGATATCGGTGGCAGATAGCATAATGGAAAAACTGATGAAGAAGAAAGTTTTGAATCAGGACAATCACTGATAGGTCTTGTTGTTGATATACGTTCGTTTCTAATAAAATTCGACGTTGATGATGGCCAAAAACTACCTAAATTCTGATAACAATGTACATTATCATGAACAAATTCAGGCATATATGCACTGGTTAGACTGTATGATTCATAGTCATGAGTACTGTTATTCAATTCAAAATCTAGTTTTGTTTTTCTGTTATTAGAAAACACACTATGACCTTGTGGGGAGGAAAGATCACTGATCGATAAACGTTGTTCATAGTCAGAGGAATCTTCTGAACGTGTTGCTGTTGCTTTGAAACGTTTTGGTCGTCTCAAAAATGATCCATTATCAAACATATCTTTACATTTTGGATGTATTGCCCAATAGTTTCCTTTTCCATGACTACCAGAGGTCCGTGGAACTTTAATAAAACAATCGTTAAGACCTAAAACAGTTTAAAAACACACGCTCAGGATGAAAACAGTAAGATACTATAGATATATATGAACAAACTTAGATTATGACGAATCGAGTTTTGCCATCGTTGTTGGTTTTGAGAAAAATATGGAAATCGTTCTTGAATAAATTTGTAAATTTCTAAACAAAAGGAAAATTTGAGAATACGAATGTAAACGAGAACAATACGCCTTACCATTTAGTGTCATCATACCATTTTTTGAACTTTCAATAGCCAATGTAATGAGAGCGATGTATGAATAAGGTGGTTTAACTTCAGAAAATCTTCGGCCTTGTTGAGATAACGTCGATGTTCCTAGAAAATAAAAGAAAATTACATAACAAACACATTTTGTTTAAGAAACAAGAATACGTCTTACCCGACAATTGTGTCACATCAATATTGTCAATTTCCGTTACAAGACCTTTTGTTATTGCTTCTTTAGCATCTCTTTCGGTTATCTGAGTTTTTGTTTTTGAACGATTTTCATCCTGTCGTTTTGTTTCCTTAAGTTTTCCATTTTTCATTGATGTTTGACTAAAATAATTTTCTCGATGAGATGTTGTTGTTATGGATGGTAATGGCGATGGTGGGGATAACATTAAATTGTAGTTTTGTTCACGAAGTGGACCTGTAGGCGATACATTTTGCCGAAAGAAATCTTCGAGCATTGAAACCAATCTAAAGAAGAAACCAAAAGTGAAGTCGAACTGAATTTAAATTATTGACTGTTAACTTCTAATAACCAGATTCTTAGTATATCTAATTTTTAATGTAATGAATGAGCAACAAATTTTTAATCACGAATTCTTGAGGATGATACCACAATGCTTCTTGCATTTTCTGCTCATTATAAGGTATTGTGTGCTCGCTCCAAAGACTGAATTTTATAATTACAACTGACTAGTGTTGAAGGAAATGAGTTAAAACTGAGCACTTTGATTTTACATGCTTCCTAAACAACAAGCACTCATCGAGTCGGAGACATCCTCTTTACTTAATTTTAACTTAAAACTCTCGACTCTTATAGAATTAACTTTTATTATTGTTAAAGTGAAACATCTCGTTGGTTTTTTCCTACATACTGCACAAATTTTGAACAATATTGTTTGTATAACTTACCTAAACGTAATTAGTATCAGATATGAAATGCTCTATAAAATACTTTGAACAAATATTGATACATTTCAACGTGTGCTTTTATTTTTTATGATATAGTTGTCACTCAACCAATTGTAGAACTTCTCTTATTTTAAAATGACATCATTTGTACCTAAGAAGAAGAATGAAAAAAATGTCATTGGACAGAAGAAAAAGAAAAAATTGTCATAGTTGAACGATAATTTTAATATTAAATACTATAGGTAGACAAAATAAAAGTCTATATTGGAGTTTATAGAATGTCCCGTATACGATTTCATCGTATTTTCCCAATAATATTGATACTTTAAGCGTTTTATTCTATCAGAACCATATTTCACCTCTACTGAGAAAGTAGGCCTACTCAGGTTTGAATACAAAACTATAAACAGCACGTACTAGAATAAGAAGAAATTCTGAGCTAAGTTGTGACCATGATCCTCAGCAATTCCATATCGCCTATTTTACTGATCAGTTTAAATTGTCAAGCAAATAATATGCATAATCGTTATCGACAAGCTACTTTTTTTTGTAATAGTAATGAAGAAAGTGATTGTGATGAAGGCAGTCATTAGTTAATATTCCACATTATTACGTTGCAAAGAACCAATATCGAGCCTCAGAATGCCATATTTTGTAAAATAAAACGACTCTTTTCTACATTATTATGTGTATAAAATAAATTTTAGATTAAAATGTCCCACGTTGAAGTGCTACACTTGTTTACTTCTTTACAAGGTCTTATCTGTCGAAATGTATTAATTTCAAGGAAAACCTTCTTGCATTTTGACTAATAAAATCTTCATGTTAGAACAAGAAATGCCAATAAGATTCTCCTTGACTCCATAAAACAAGAAGGTGCAGTAGAATTTTCGATGAAAGAGTTTTAACTATTCTAACAATGGCTGAGTGAGAGTAAATATTTCTAAATACTGAACTGTTTTTCTGTGTGATATGTGTTGCCTGCTCTCGCGCTTGAATGTCTAAAAATCTTCGATTGGAACGTAATTCGATTGAAAAGAGAGCTACGTCCAAAAGAGATACTTTTTTTTGCAAGCTCACACTCAGTTTTGTATGTCTCCAGTGGCGGATCCAGCCCGCGAGCGGTACGAGCGGCCGCTCGTACCTTTTAACCAAAAAAACTGTTTTTTCCCAGCAGATCTCTCTTAGAATAATTTGTTTCTATGATGACCGCACATATCTCGCATTTTTATCGTATACCGCACGTACCAAAAAATAATTCTGGATCCGCCACTGTATGTCTCCTATGATGTTGTTTGATCTTACAAAGTCAATCTTTTGAGAAGTTTCGGAAAAGAGAACATTTCTGATTTTTTGAAGAATGCAATGTTTTTTAGGTAGAAAAGAGAACACACGAAGTGCTAACACTTGTAGAATGATCAGATATTTACGTTAATACCCTGACGTTCGAACAAATCAACTTTTGGTTTTACACAATAACAGAATAACAAATATTTTAACATCATGATTAAGTTATTTTGATGTAATAATGAAAATTTGCTTCAAATCACTGATGGTTGTTTGAACTTGAAATTGGCACTCAGGATATTTTTTATATGATGAACAACGATATGTTAACTTTAATCCACTTGTTGTTTGTTGCGAGCCAAATTGTGAAACCCATTTCTCTTTAATATATTCCTTCAATGAATCAGTATTTGAGAAACTCTCAGCAAAACATCACACTCTATTTATCATTTTTCAGATTGAAATGTACAAGTTACAGAAAAAAAGATACAGTTGAATGTATATTTATAAAAGTTGTAACTATGACGTTTGCTTAGAGTTGTAATGCCTAGTCATCCATACGCATGATCTCTAGTCACACTGTTAACCTCTTATTCCGTGTTAGTCCTTCATGCATTCTCTTTTCTACCTAAAAAACATTGCGTTCTCCAAAAACTCAGAAATATTCTCTTTTCAACCTAATTGCGTTCTCTTTTAAATCTCTGTGTGTAGACAAATGTCCCTCTGATTTTTCTTAATATAAATTACTCATTACTATAAGTCAAAAATGTTAGATTTGAGCTCTATATCTGTTTTGCTTATATGATCAACATTGCTTATGATATGATCGTTCGTCCTTATTTGAAAACAAATCGATTACATTTTTACTTGTTTATAGGTGCTCTAGATTATACATTCGTGAACATAGACAATAGCAATAACAAAAGTCAAGTTTCAACACTTTCAAAGTTGAAACTCTCTGCCGCAAATATTGTTTAAAATTAAATGAGCAAGAAATTACTTTCTGTAAGAGAACAAATTATAGGATTATTACAGGTTTAAACATAAATGGGATTTCACTTTTTTAGTTGAACGGCACTTTAGAAGAAAAAAGCGGTATTTTTTTTTTTACTTTCTTTGATGACGCCTATTAAGGGATAGCGAACAAAATTGTAACGAAAAATATATGTGTGTGTCCTTGACGTAAGTGTTATCGAAAAAATAAGTATTTAAAAGTTTTGAAAAATATTACTATTTCAACTAAAGCAAAACTCAATCAATAATGGAAATCTGAAATTAAGTCGGTAGTATAAAAAATGAAATATAAAGTTTTTTTAAAAGAATAGAAAGTATAATATAAACAAAAAACGTATTTTTCGGCTACCTAACAGTTAATATATTTGACGGTGTAATTAGTTAATTATAATCAAACATGAACAAACTAACATTTCATATCGTTCAAATCAAAAACTTAAAAGATTAAACCTTTTGAGAATAAACAAACAAGTTTCAATAACCAGTTATTGGTATTGGAAAAAAAGATAAAATGTGTCATATTCACACCCGCAGCAGATAGTGATTGATTATTGAACAACAAATAAATTATGATTTTTGATTGAACAACATCATCAACCATAATATACGACAGTAAGTGTTTCTAATATATATTTTCAAGTGAATAAAACAATATGGCTTTCCAGTGCTCATGGTCGGTACATCTCATATCTACTATCTTACAATAATTTAAAAGTGAAAAATCGAATGTTTAAATTTAGCTATCTGTGTATTCTGTGCAGAGTCAGTTTCTACTAGCGAACAATGGTATAGTAGTGATCCATTATAATGGCAGGACTCTATCAGATACAATCGTTTATTGCATCTCGTACCATTGATAAAATTATATGAAAACTCTGCTATTTATCTGAGAGGCCTACTATGAGAAAATCTCAGCAAATGTATTACAGCGAAATATGAGTCATACGGACATAATTTTGACAACTAAGGCCAAGGATTACTTCGTGTAAAGTCGATATAGTGTTATGTAGAAGATTAGTGTTTGTAGCATTGATTACATCTAATGTACAAATAGTCACCCAGAATTCTCTTCTCTCCTGAAACAGCCATTTCAAAAGAATGGGTTGAAAATCTTAAATACGTTATATCTTAATTACGTTACATTAGTTAGTCATACGGCACTGATTATTATTTTCTCAGAAATCGTTCACTTTTCTATTGTGTCTGAACAAGTAAAGTATGGTGTGAAGAATGAATGGACATTAACGTATAAAATGACAATATTCACGATCTAAATTGTATCCAAATGTTTGTTTAGTGTTACATCCCATAGACACATCAAAACTATCTCAAAAGGAAATAAAACTATTTTCTAATATAAGATGAAATATTTGCACTTTTGCTTCTTTTATAGTTTTAATATAAGTCATTCAACAAAAGAAAGAGTATTAATCCCTTTTAAAAACATCTACTAAAATTAATATTATGAATAGACTGATACTATGTATCAATTATCGACCTTGTCTACCAGAAAAAAAGTCGATTGCGTTGGTGTTCAATACTACATCTAGAAAAGGTGAACCTTGCAGAGAAAAATCGATGAAAACATTAGAAAGAAAAGTTAAGTATAAAGCATCTATGAAAATATTATATCAACGTTAAGCAAAAAATAAAATTCACTTAGACTCGCGGGAAAGTACTTTTTCGTATTCAGCACACTCGATACCCAGTAGATTTTCTGTTTTTGGCGAGTGGTACTGCCAAAAATTTAAGAAAAATTTTCAGACAACATGGAGAAAAAGAACTTCTATAGAAAAGTAATATTATCTTCAAAATTTTCCTTAAGTTTTTAGCAGTATCACTCGCCAAAAATAGAAAATCTACTGGATTAATGAGTGCGCTGAATACGAAAAAACGCTTTTTCCCTGACTCTAAATGAACTTTATTTTTCTGTCAGTGGCATAATAGAATTCAAAAATTTGAGAAGAAAAAATATTAATCGTAACAGTTAGACAATAAAAGAACGTCTTCAAATAAACAAATATGACTTAAGTAACTTCTTATTGGATAAGTGACTTCTTCTGGATGAAGTTCGTCATACTACTAGACTCAAGATCACGCTTACTGAAAACCTTTTTTTTAATAGTTGGTAGGATAAAGTTTCATAATCACAGCTGACTAGTAATGAAGGAAATGAGTTAAAACTGAGCTTTGATTTTACATGCTTTCTAAACAACAAGCATTCATCTGGTCGGAGACATCCTCTTTACTTAATTTTAACTTAAAACTAACGACACAAGTGTATGATACTGCGGTATACACACAGATACTTTATTATAAGGCTTTTCAGAGAAACAGCATTCAAAAGCATATTTTGTCTAATTTCCTTCGTTCCTGATCTTTGTTAAACAAACTTTTATCAATGCTGACTTTTATCCGAAACAGATGAGCATAGTCTTCCATCTGGTTATCATGTCCTAAATCGATAAGGACCTTTCATTGCGGGATTATACTCTGCTGTGGACGAAATTTACCGAAACTCCATTTGTCGGCTAGTTGAAACACCTTCCAGTTTATTCTTTAATATATGTACAATAATCAAGGCCATCTGAGGGAAATGGGCACTAACAGCGTTTTTCGTTTGTATGAAATGCGCTATGACACTCTTCTCGGACGCTATTCTCAGATTTGTAAAATTTTATCTTTATTATTTGAAACAAAATTTACTATTAGATTTAAAAATGGAAACGTAACACGTTGAATACTTGCATAAAAGTTAAGTACTCTAAAATAGCTATTGCCGATTAAGTGAATAAAAATGAAATTTCTGAAATAAACAAGATGCGAACACGTTCAATAGCGTTTATGTTCACCAAAATAGCAATTACTTAAATTGATTAATAATTGAATAATAGTCCAATGCACGATCATACTCGCCTTTGCTGTCATAAACCACACCAATATTATTCAGACTACTAGCAATATCTGGATGATCAGATGGCAAATATTTTTCTCTCATGTCCAGACCTTTTGAATAATAGTCCAAAGCACGATCATACTCGCCTTGGCTGCTATAAATATTGCCAATACTACCCAGACTATCAGCAATATCTGGATAATCAGATGGCAAACATTTATCTCTCACGTTGAGACATCTTGAATAATAGTCCAAACTACGAAGAAGATAGTCACTAATGTTGACCTTTTTTCTCGCTTCCTTCTCTCATTTATTGTCTATTTCTAGACTAACATGTGAGATTGCGGAAAAACGCTCTCCTTGAAGAAGAGTTGGACCCTTAAAATATTTAATGTATATTTAAAAGCTCCTATTTTTATCATAAACAACTCATGAGAAGAGAAATGTAGTGTACATAAATAGATAGATTAAAAATCTATTGAATTCTAATAAATGGAGTTTTAATCGACTAATCATCATTGTTATTAAATCTGAAAAACAAGTAGTTCGTTTGTATCCCGAATCTTTCTTTCTCTACCATATATGAGTTTGAATTCATTTCGTATAAACCTATTAATCTGATTAACACACAGTCAACGGTGAGCGAAATAAACCTTTTTTTAATTTGCTTTGAATGACGACTGATCTATCAGATTATAAAAAGAATGTTTGATCTACCATGGTGCTGAATTATAAGTTTTTCCAGTTTCCAAAAACGACTAAACTTTTGCAATAAAATGATGAAAGTTTCAGAGAAGGATGAGGATACCTATTTACTGTGGGCGTCACTGGTCAACGAGATAGGATCGATTTATTACTGTTTAGTGTACTAGTTTTACAATTAATTTAGTATGTTAGATTGTGAATATTGAATAAACAGAAGAATTATGTAGTAGTATATTGCATATAATATAACAAAAATAAGTGGTACAAAAAAATACAATTAAAGCTCCACTTTTACATTCACTATAGACGAACTTCGTCTCTGTAGTCTAAACCTCAAAAAGAAAACCACACAGAAAAAAAACATCTAGGAAAATATCACATTGATCACATTGATCACGATAAACATAAGAATTATGTCGTGTAACGCGTTCTGTTGTATTGTTGGATAGTTCAAATGTTTGTGTATGTGCACGAAAAGGGTTTATTTGACCTCTATCTTTTGAGCATAACGTCATATTTAACACTTGTTGTTGAGGAATCCGCGGTCATTATTGGCATAAAGTATGACTTAAAAATTCGATCAAGAGTAGAAGTGCTTAAAATGTGCTCACTTGCACGTTGGACACTAGGGAAATTACTAATCATTTGGGTTGGTTTCCTTATTCATTCAGTACGCTGGATATGTAAGAGAGCAAAAAAAGCTAATCTCTATGAAAAAGATACTATATGTAGTATCTTTTTCATAGAGATTAGGTTTTTATAAGTTATTAATACAAGATTTAAATTGTGATGATGTCTGGTCACTATTGTTTTCATTAATCCATCTTTTATGGTATTTTATTCTGATCTCTTTTGTCACTTTTGTCTCTCGCAGTTTAATACAAAGTTGAGTAGTAGGTCAAACAACATAACTATTGTGTGACAGAGTTATAATCGATTGAAAAAATTGGAATCGAATCAGTCGATCAGAAATCAGTTTCAGATCGTTGAAAATCGGTGATTTTTCGAAAAATAGTAAGCGTAAAAGTATATACTTCAAAGAATTTCAGAGGCGTCCACGACGATATGAGACTGCGTTTTCGACGAAACGGAACTAATCATCAAGAGAGAAAATAATAGAGAAAGTTTGTTAAAAAACATCCTGACTTCAGGTACAAGGTTAAAGTTTTGTACGGACTACAGACTACAGATTTAACTAGAAATCTTTTCTATATTTTTCACATGTTTTCTGACCAAAAAATATTCGGAAAAAAATATATTTTTTCAAAAAATAAATCAGCAAAAAATCAGTGAATATTGGTCGATCGAAAATTTTAATCGGATTGGCCGATCTGGTACTGATTTGCGGATTCAGCTGCAACTCTGTTGTGTGATGCGAGCGAACGTGTGCCATGTAAGGACAGTAGAAGTATTTGACAAGAGCAAAAAGAATAAAATTTCGATTATTCAAACATATTTTCATTTTGCAACAAAAAAACAAAATTTAAAAAAGCTACTCAGTTTTGGTTTAAAGTGGAAAAAAATAGGAAGAAGAAAAAAAAAGTATGAGTTAGTACAGTACCGAAAACCATAATTGTAACTGTACATTGTGTGAAAGCAGAAGAGAGAGTATTTTCTCTTCATATTTTCATATCCCGTTTATCGGTACGTTTGATTTGTTTTTTTCATACACACGTATAGATAGACTTGCTTTCTATCGTATATATGTATTTGAGATGAGAGAATGTAGAGAAAAAAAAAGAACAAATTTTATTTCGGTTTTCTTTTTTTTAACTAAACTGTTTAATAGTGTCGAAACAGCTGCTGAACAACAAACGATTTCTATTTTGATAGTCTACCATTTCGTAAATAAAACAGATTATCACATCAGTTTTAGATTTCATACATATACAACGGTCATTTTTCATCTTTTTGGAAAGCAAACAACTATGATTCGTACGCAATGTAAGCAAGAAGAAAAAAACACCATTATCTATTAATTATTATATTAACTTCATACGATGTCTAATATGAATTTGTCGTCGTCGTCGTCTTCTGCTCTTCCGTTACGACAACAATCTTCGACAACTCATGAACAAGTTAAATATGGAGAATTAATCATATTGGGGTATGGAAAAACAGATATTTTTAAACTGAAAGCAAGGAAAGAAAAACAGAAGATATTAGTTAAAATATTAATTTTGACAAATATTTTCTAACTAATATCAGTAAAGTCGAAGCATGAAAAATACTTTTAGTGGAGAAGATCTCACGTCTTTCTGACTCTAATAAATCGGCTTAAATATATAACATCATGAAACGAAAATTTGATTTCAAACCCGTAAAAACCTACTCTTCTGTTTCACACATTTCATGAGTTTTCCATAATTTTCTACCATAATGGAAGTTTAGAGGTTTAAATTCTACGTAGAGAATACATTGGTTAGTACATACATTTAAAATGAGATTTTATTCCTCCTGTCTTTGATCCTTCTTTTCATTTTTTCTGAGTAAATACGACATTAACCAAATCAAACTTATTATTATCTCCACATTCCTATCAGTGGCAGGCAAAAAGTTGATCATTCTGCTTTTATTCCTGTCATTATTATTTATCCATTTGTTTAAAATTTATATTGTAGAATTCTCCTTGTCTTTTTCTAATAACATATAGTTATTTTACATACTAAGAAAACAATATGATAAATAAAAATATCCCGACGAGGAAACAAATCACTAAAATGCGTGCTCACTAGCAAATGAGATGACCTTCAGAAACGAAGAATCAAAGAATGAACATAACAGATGAGGTAAAAGTTTTTTATTAATATTTTAAAAAGAGCAAAGTGTCTAATACAAAAATATATAAAAGTGTTTGATCCGAAATGTTTCTCGAAGGCCACAAAAATCTTAGAACAAAAGGCATCGGAAAACTGTTCCGTAACTTCGGTTACAATTTTTGTATCCAAATACATTTGTTTGATCTTTATCATTACCCACTTTCAATGTTTTCGAGCACCAATATATATGAAGTTGTTCATTACAATGAAGGCTTTCGTATGATATTAAAAAAGTTGATCTTGAGCACAAGAGATGGAATAGAAGACCGTTTGATTAAAAAAATTCAATTTGGCATTTACAATGCGAAAACAAGTTTTTGTCCTAATATCTCACTTAGCAACTGTGTTCTATTCCAAATAATATCGTTTGGTAGAGGACTCAATAAACTTTCTTTTTCATGTAAAGTATATAGTTTCGATCAATTCCCCTCTACGAGCAGAATTTCTTTTTTTGACTGCGACCGACAGTGATGGAAAATCGGTGGTAACATAGGATGTTATAAAAGCGCTCATTTTGACCGTTATAAAACACGAAGAAAATTTCTTTTTTGCGATGCCCTATCCTTACATCATAAAACTCGGAATAAAACGAATAAAAAATAACCTTTCTAGTTGGATGGAGCTTTTTCTAAATTCGAAAAGGTTACAGAACAGTTTTTCGATGTCATTTGCTCTAAGATTTTTGTGGCGAGAAACATTTCCGATCAAACATTTTTATGGATTTTTGTATTAGACACTTTGCTCTTTCTGACAAAAAAAGGATAAAGCCTCTATGATATTCCATCGTAACGCTATATCAAAAAGAAAATTAATGCAAAACTTTTGCCTCACCCATTTTATTCGAAAATTTGTTCGTTCTTTGATAAACTATCCGAAATATGGAAGAAGCGTTATTAATTGCTCAAAATCTCAGCTAAGATCAACATGCATTTGACTTTATCAATGCTGATAACAGATTGACGATAACGAGTTTCAAAAGAGAGACAACTCAACCATCTGAATTACAGTAAATCACTCAAAGAAGTCAACGTAAACTAATATTAGAGTTTGATAATCCAGGCAGACCCTTACTAAAGGGCATGTTTTCTCTGACAAGAACATAGTTCTATGCTATTCGAATATATGTCCTTCGATTGTCGATAGTCAAATTTACTGCTAGAAACAAATGTTCTAGTGATCGATTCTTACGTTAGAATCTTATGAGAGCCAGCTAAGGTTCGGCTAAGATTCCGATAACTATCTAACAAGAACCTTACAAGATTCTCATATTAAAAGTCCGCACGAAAGTGACAGGTATTTAGTAAGAGTCTTATTAGAATCAGCTAAGACTATAATAAGAAATCGGAAAGGAAGCGATAAGGGTGAGTTCTATGAAATTCTTATCATTTTCTCAGAAAATTTTTATTAGTCTCTTAATGGTAATGATTTATGATATCAACTGATCTTTTCTAACCTATCATTTTTTTTAGCTTCATAAATAGATAAAATAAACATAAAAATCCATTTTCCAACGATCAGGTATAAATAGAGAACAGAAGAGGATACAGCTTCTGGCTCAACCTCGAACTTTATTCTAATATATCTCAGCAATGTGTTACATTTTCTCGAGAAGTACATTATGGTTCTGGAAAGGACGTATATACGGCTAGAGGAACAGTGAAAATGATACCAAATTACCGAAAAATACTCGATAACTATGACAGAAAATTTAGCTGGATACGCTGAAAGAGTATTTAGATCCTATCTCAGTTTCCTTTTCTTGTTATAGGAATGAGATACGACTCTGTTCATTTCTCCTGTTGTTCGATTTTGCACTGTAACTCTAATCTTCTTGAAATAAAGCACAAAATAAGACCATTAAACTTTCCTTTTTTTCTAGTCAGAACAAGCTTTTTTCGGAATAACATCCAGAATCGACTCATCATAAATTGTGAAGATAAGGTTTCATTGGGGAGAATGGCACGCTGTAGTAAGCAGATTTAAATCCTGCATAAACGACTCCAATTTTTTTGTTATATTTTGCTTTAAAATTAAGTCAGATCAACTTCATGAAACTTTTCGAGCATTTTCGCACAAAAAACAAATTCAGATGATTTGGTACGTAAATGATACGAATTTCATAGAACTCACTCTTCTCAATTTCTTATTATAGTCTTAGCTGACTCGTATAAGACTTACTAAATTCTTGTCACTTTCTTATGGACTTTTAATATGAGAATCTTGTAAGAAACTGATAAGACTCTTATCAAATTTGATTGAAGGTTTTCATCAGTTAAAAAAATGCTGATAGGTTAGAAAAGATAAGTTGATGGGATAAATTATTGCCATTAAGAGACTTCATACATGAACTTTACCTATACTAATATAGCGGTGGACAATAAATAATCGTTGTATCTTTTTCATTATCGCCTTTATTTTATAATAAACAAGAAAAGAACATTTGAATATTATTATTTTAATTTGATTTACATAGACATACTCTTGCGTCCTATTTAGTTCGACTACATTTAGCAACTATAGTCCCAAATATAACCGGTTGAACAATGTTTATCACCATACCGTTTTATTCATTAGTTTCTTCTATTTATAGTGACATATGTTAATTTTATCTATTTTTTTATTTGCTATCACGAGTAAGAAGAAAGAGACATTAAATCATCTTTTTTGAACACTATCTAACCTAATTCTTAGATAATGTCATAAAAACATTATAATGGCAAGGAGATTAAGCTGAGCAAAAATTCGATTATGAAATTTACCACTATACGTATCGTCTGCAGACCAGAGATGGGCCGCTCCGACCATTTCTGGCTCCAGCTCCAGCTAATTACGACCCGCTCCACTTCGACTCCGCTCCAAGCTTAAGAATTCCTCTCCGACTCCGCTCCAGCTCGACCGTCGTTACGAAGCGCTCCGCTCTGACTCCGGGATGACAAAAACGTTTTTTTCCTATTTTTTTAAAGTTTGATGATGTTCCGTGAATTTTACACTTTATTTCAAGATATATATATTATAGAATAAGAAAAAAACAAACTAATTGACAATATACGTAAGTTAGCTTGATTATAATATGAAGATTATTTATTTGATGATTGATTATTTATGAAGAAGATATATCAGCGATATCATCATCTTGCTCAGTTAACAACGATTGATCACGTAATTCTGACATAGTAAAGTTTGTTTGTTCAACTTTCACTTGAATGAGAAATTTGGTTCTATTTTGTCATAGCTGACTTCTCACTCAGTTTATTTTTTCTAATTTCTCTCTTCGTCGACGTCGCGTTCTTAGATGTCGAAATTAACAATGACACAATCCAATTAGCCGTAGAATAACCGACTAAATGAACGTTGAATCATTGTCTCAAACATTGCCACTAGCAGAAGGTAACAATGGCATATTCAGTATAATGAATAGTCGACGACGGACTTTTCTCTTACTGATTCTTTCGTCATTATTCATAGAACGGTGAAGCGAAAAATTGAGCTATGATTGGAACTAAAAAGAAAAAGACGCTCCGACTCCGTTCCAGCTCCATTTCACTCACAACGCGCTCCGCTCCGACCTCGTAACTTTTATGAATTGCTCACTCCAGCTCCGAATGTCTTCATTAACCGCTCCGGAGTCTGAGCGGCCCATTTGTGCTGCAGACGAGTATTGGTTACACTTCTAATTACGACCGTATCCAGAGGTTTTTGAAACTACACTGATAGTGGAATTGATTAGCTGAGAGTCTTTCAGAAAAACGTTCCTATAAGTTATCACAGTACAAAGTCATCACTCTGATTCTTATTAGAGTTCAAATTTTGCTTGTTACTCTCACGTCTGCTCGAGAACTTTCTCTTTCTGGACGCTAGTATCTAAGGAGATCCAGTGCTATAAAACTGCGGAAAGATTAACGCTCAACTTTTTCTTGGCATAGAGAGGAGACACTGGTAGTTTTACTAATTAAACACCTTCACTTAGTGAAGAGGAGAAATTGTGTAGATAATTCTGTCGTCTGCATCATTTGTTTAATCTATCTATATTTACTCCAAATGCCTACATCGTTGGTCAATAAATATGAACATTTAATCTTTTTTCAAGAATAAATGTTTATTTGATACAATCAATTGACTGTTGCATATGATGATGTTTATGTCTGTGTAAATATGCGTTTATATTTCAAAAAGAATTAGACAAAGATTGTGTTTGCGTTTTTTTTCTTCATATATTTGTAGGTATAATGGATCAATTCCTAATGGTGATCGTGGTCGTCGAAAAAGTAAATTTATTTTAAAAGAACGATCACAAGCAAACGGTTTAAAAGCGTTAGGTCAACATCTATGTAAAAACACTGCAGAAGTACAGGTGAAAATCATTCTTCTTTTTTTCTTTTTCCTTGATATTTGAAAGTTAAATTTAAAAAAAACGAAAGAAATTCGAGACCTTAAATACATACAAGGTTATTTTAGGTCAGTAAATGATCTTTTCAATTTAGTCCTAGTAAAAGAAGTTGACTATGACTGACACGAAAAAAACTAAAAGAAATCATTGTTGTTATAATTGATGAATAAGTTAAATATCAGTATGATTCGATTCAAGTGTCGACATACTCTGTTCGAAATGGAAATCGCTCAAGAAGATATTTCCTTCATGCTTACACTCAAGTAAAAAGAAAACCTTACAATAAGGATCTTTGAATGAAGTGATAAACTGAGAATGGCTATTTATCATTAATAGGTTCTTGTCTCACACCGGATAGAAAAAGCTAAGTGATAAGGCATGGACAATTATGTGTGAATAAATTACAGATTAGTGTATGCTACGCGTAAAATCAGAATATACTATTGTTCAACATGCGTTTTAACATGCAAATTTATGCATTTTCACTAGTGGCAACGTTTTTTAATATGTTTTTGTGTCATGAGTGTAACAGAAACGATCAAATAGGTTGTGATATCTACATACATCCAAGATATATAGAAAAATAAATTACATTACTGATATGTCGTTCTTATTGCACAATTTATCATTTTTTGCTTGTTTTATTTCTCATTTTCTCTATTTTTGGTTACCACTTTGATTATTCTGATATATGTTGATATACTAAATCAAAATTTGGAATTCTATACACTCTGAGGACTTTAGATTCTGAGATATAAGATTTGTACTCTCTGTTCTTATTTAATATCTATTGATGGTTAAGACGATAGTAGCACTCAAGTCAGTCATAAAATTGCAGGAAAGGATGAGAGAACAAAATGAGATGATACATAGTTGGATAAATGTGCCTGCGATATATTTGTAATTGCAAAATTTGGAGATGAATTGTATACTTTTTTCTTCTCAATTCCTTCTGTATCGTTAACACAATATATCTTAAATAATGAGAGAAAATCCCTGCAAATAGTAGTAGACGATGGGTTACTGTTTCTTACGTCACTATGCCTTAAAACTAGAATAAAAAATACAATATACTTTTTCTCTCACCGTGAATAACGGAGATGATAAGTTCAAATCTATTACAAATTGCAAAGTATATTTACAATAGAAAGGTGAATTTAAATCAAAATTTTCAAAACTAATAAAACCATAAAGGGTCCCTTCGGATTTGGTCGAAAATCTGCTCCCTCCTCTATTGTTCTAAGATATTATCATGCGGTGGTTGTACAGGGACTTCGGACGCATTAGAACGCATTATTGCTTTTGTTGCAAATTAAAGTGAAAATGAGAATTGTTTTTTGGTGATATCTTCATTTCTCGTATTATCACACTTTTATTAAATTAAGTATATATAGAACAAATGTGACAGAACGTGATCTATTACAACATACTATCTCACTAAAAGATATCATTATCAGTAACTGAAACGTGGCTTGCTCTAGCATCACATAACTTTTACAAATTGCAGTTATACAAACAATGCGCTTTTTTTAACGTATAACAACTGTTTTTACGTGAAATACATGAATAGATGTACTGTATGACATGTATTTTTGACTTAACTACACTCCTACATCGGTCTCATTCAGTTGAGAGAGGAAATAAAGATCCATCGAAAACGTCATACTGTACTAATTTATAAAGCTGTCAATTAATGTAGTTTTCTAAACTTCTGTTTAATTATAGAACATCGATTTTATTTCAGGATTAAATGCAAACGGAAAAGCTTTTTTTCGCGTAAAGCCGCATAATAATGTATCATCGATTAACACGTTAAAATTGTTTTTCCACAAAATAACAGTAGCTATTCTAGATATCGATTCCAGAGTCAAGAACTAAACTATATCATGAGCTTATTTAACTAGAATTTATTTTGTAACATCTTACCTAAACTAAATGAAGCTTCTTTCAAGTTAGTTCTTCACGTTAACAATTAATGACTTTAAACAAGTCAAAGCTTTCAAAACCTGTAAAAACGTTTATGATGTATGGGCAGTAGTTGTATTTTGTAGAACTCGATCTCCTTTATTCATTAGTGAAAACAGCTCGTGAAAATATCTCTTCGTTCAAACGATATAATAATTTTACTAATCACGATTGCATCGGAAAGGCACCGAGATGCTATCAAGTAGATATCACAAAAAAACATTTTCTCATTTTCACTTTGAGTTTGAAACAAAAGTAATAATGCATTCTGATGCATCAGAAGTCCCTCTACAACTACCGCATAATAATCTTTTGGAAAAGGATAGGAAAAGGATTTTTGACCAAATCCGGTGGGATCCTTTTTATGACAAATGAGTCTAGTATATTCCGGCGGTAAAACTTTGCGGTACGTCTAGTCTTCTACATCGCTGAAAAAAAGAAACGAAAGATCTGCATTTTGTAAAAGTCGATGTACTCTTTGACGAAGGATTTTTACATACTGAACTTTTATCTGACGTTCTCGTCTCTTCAGGAGCTGACAACCGCTAACGTACATTCAATAGCCTACACACTATCGAGAAATCAAACAGTTGTCGTGCAATATACACGCGATGAAGAAACAGATATGTTCCAAGTAAAAACTTGATGTTTAACATTAAAATCTCCTGTTGTTAAACTACACACTCTAATTTTCAAACTTTAGGTTGGTCGATCACCTGAAAGTCAAATTGATTTTATCGTTATGGATACTGTTCCCAATGCGAAAACGTCTGATGAATTAAATATCCTACAAAGTACAATATCCAGGTTTGTATCTTCTTTCGTCCCTTATTCAAGTAGAAGAACAATCATTCATTTTCGACTCCTTTTTCTTTCTTTCAGGTTTGCTTGCCGAATTGTTGTTCAACGAAAACCGCCATATACAGCAAAAATTTATGCAGCTGGATTCGACTCATCCAAAAACATTTTTCTTGGAGTATAAAAGAAATGATCTTGTTTATTACACATACTTTTACTATGTCATGTTTTTATTTTTAGGAGAAAGCAATTAAATGGAGAAATGAAAAAAATGAAATAGACGGTGTAACGACCAATGGCATCTTACTCATGCATATGGATTGTGGTAAATTTAACAGCGGTGCTAGACCAACAAAGTGGAAAGAAATATCCGTTGGTGGAAGGGTCTTCGATCTTAGTGAAGGACGATTGAAATTTAACTATCAGTCAGCGGTAAAATATTTTATATTTTACCAAGTAATATTTTCACTTTTGTGGGTGTTTTTTTTTTCAACCTAGTCATCCTCTGCAAGTGATAACATATTGAAAGATGGTACATTAATCGATCTATGCGGTGCCACATTGTTGTTTCGTTCTGTTGAAGGGCTGAAGCATACCCCGGTAATGAAAGCAGATATAATCATTTGAATTCTCCTACTATACAACACTCATTTTGTCATTCTGTTGAAGACACGTCGATTACTTGAAATTGAATTGGAACAATTGAACAGTACAAAACCACAATGTCCTGTTGGTTTAAATACATTAGTAATCAAAACGGTATCTCCACCATCGAATTTTGATGGGCAAATACCGTTTGTTTATGTATCATGCGGACATGTACATGGAAATCATGATTGGGGAGTTAAAGAAGAGTTAAAACGTGAATGTCCATTGTGCAGAACGATTGGATCCTATATCCCCATAACAATGGGTATCGAGCCATCATTTTATATTAGCTGTAGTGACTCAACAACAACACATTGTTTTCAACCCTGTGGGCATATTACATCGGAATCAACGGCATTACACTGGAGTAAAATAAAAGTGCCATTAGGTTGTCGAGGTCTAAAATCGATATGTCCATTTTGTTCAACCGCATTATCCGAAGTAAAACCATTTGTTAAATTAATATTTCAAGATTCAATGCCATACAATATAAAACAGTGATCATATTCATGTGCAAATTATTATTTTTTTATTCGAATGTTCTTTTCGTTAATTTATAAAAAACGAAATAACCGGTTGGTTTTTCTTTCTTCTTTTGTGTCTTCAATAATGGTTGTTTTTTTATTTACTGTTTTTTCTAGTACTGTCCATGTTTTGTTGCTATTATTGGTATTCTATGTGCATATTATCTAACAATTATTCTAAATTCTTCAGTAGAGACAAACAATATGGTACTAAATTTGTGTCTTTGAGTTTTGTCATTCGACACAGCTCCAGCTGGCTGAATTGACCAAAACTACCAGATATTTTTTTTCCTCGTCTTTAGAAGCCTAAAATATAAAGTACTGCAAGTCGCCTGTAGCATTAGAAAACGCTCGAATGAATAATCGTTTTCAAAAAATACTAGAAATTATCTTTGATGACACGCCTAACAAATGTACTTGAGTCAAATACTTGGGTTAAGTAATGAGGATAGTACTTGTGAACTTTTCCAAGTAAATTTACTTGTCAAGTAAAATGTAAGCACCAGAGCTCGGTATGAACTCAAAAGTCTGAGTTCAGTCCACTCCAGTCCGAGTCCATGAATTTCAAAATGGTAGTTTTTTAGTGTTTTTTCCTCGATTCAAGTGAGTCGGAGCTTTGGTAAGTACTTGGCTGGCACAATGCAAGTAAATTTATTTAGAAAAGTTCACTTAAGGACTTGTTCCATTTATTTTTATTTTGTACATATTCTGCAGCCATACTCTACTTTTGTAGAGCAAATATCCAGTAGAAGTATATAAGTATATTTTATAAGTGTATAACGATCGATATTCTGGTGTTTATATACAACTGATCAATGCAAAACAAAAGAGAAATGACTAGTATTTATTCGAGCAATAATTATATCGATATGAGCAATAATTATAGTACTATTTAGCAGTAATTCTTGAGCAATAAAAAAATTTGATTCGAGCAGTTTTATATTATTAAATGGACAATAATTTATTGAGTAAATGTCAATAATAATTTCCGATGTGAGCAGTAGAAAAAAGAAAAAGTACAACATTTATATTCACAATTGGAAATAAAAAAAAGAAAAATGAACAATTAATTACATCATTGTACCAGTAATGCTTTCTTTGCTTTACATGGTCTGCCTCTTTTTCTTTTTGATTCAATATCCACGTTTTTTGCCTCTGGTGGCGGTTTACAATATTTTAGTCTGATAGACAAACCTATGATGTGCTTGCAAATATAGTTTTTGAGGAATAACGGGCAATTGCAAGTTCCTTTTCTCCACTCTTCGACATCGTTCGACAAACACACGCGCCATATTTTAAAGTAAACAGACTTGTATGTGTCAAATGAATTAAACCTGCAATTCTCGTAGCGTTTTACTTCTTTATCTGTTATTGTAGTTTCTTGATCAGCAGACAGATAATATATTGTTTTATCACGATTTAAAATAGATATAACTTCTTTATTTACCTTGACCCAATTATATCCATCAGTCCAGTGTGATAATGTAATTGAAGGTTGATGTTCGACTTTTTTTGAATTGACACGAGTAGGATTACGTTCTTTTGACCACTTCATGACGATTGAAAATACAACAACTGTGAATCTTGATAAAACTAATCGTTCTCTTATTGTATCTTCATCTTTTATAACACGATTAGTGGCTCTAGAGCGTTATTGATACTTGGCACATACATCTGTAGACCTTCATACCAACCATTTTTTGATTCGAGCCATTTACTTGAAAAATATTCTATCTCTGATACGTTCCCTATCCTACCCTGTGACTTTAGGTGACATTAGAGCCCTCCCTCAGACTCGTGTCGAGGTCCGGCAAAAAAAGATTGCCCGTCTTTGAGATGAGTATGACTTTAAAAATAATGTTGAAGGTATGCTTGAAAAGTTGAATTTTTCAAAGGAAAAGCATTAAAGGTGTCATGTCACCAGATTATAAAAATAAGGTTGGTTTTGAGTTGCTGGAAAGTGCTTTTTCAGATTCAGCACACTAGATAACCCTGCAGTTTTTCTATTTGTAGTGAGCGATACTTCCGAAAGTTTAGAAAAAGTTTTCGAACAAAATGGCACAAAAAAATTTCTAGTTTGAGAGCTCCAGCAATCAGTCCGGTACGTTTTACTGGTAATAGTGTGATTCGCTTGAGTTCTTGTGTCACATAATCAGATGAGTGTATGTGATTAAAATGTGATTAGATGAGTTACTTTGTTTAGTTTGAGAGCTCCAGTAATCAGTCCAGCTCCTTGGTGTTCGATTACGTTGCACGCGATTCTAAGTCTGACGAGTGTCTGTGTATAAATAATGAGTTGTGTGAGGGTGATAAGAATAAGCGTATATGTATTACTTTGTTTTTTCCTAGTCCAACAGCAATATATTGAGCTCCTCCATTTCCGATCTGACATTCATTCATATAAAGTGTTTGAGTTCATCACAGTTAGATCTGATTATATTCATGATGAAGTTGCCTCAGAGTTTTCTTCACTTTCAATGCTGCAGGCAGTGCTTCGGCTCCTATATCCGATATATGTTTATATTCAAGTTCAAGTTGACTTGGAGTTCTTTGCGAGGAGTGCTTGTTATCTGAGTTGCTATGCAATGTGAATGATGACAGGCGTGCCATGCGGGGCAAATGGGATAGCATGTCGTTAATCAGGCTTTCTTGGTGAATTTTGTGCAATAAGAAGAATTGAAGCTTGATCCATGTGTTCGTTGGAAAACGGTCGAAGAACAGGTGGATGTATTTGCAAGTGTGTTCACCGAGACACAGAGAACGAACTTGTGCGGTTGACGTTAAGAGTTCGCAGATAAAGTTATACCTGTATTGGCTGATGTGATGAAAGATTTCAAGAATTAATTGATTCTCAAGCGATTGAAACTGTGTCACGTCTAAACAAATGTACATTATCCAGAGTTCAGCTCTTTCTCATCTGAAAAACTTTGCCTTTTCCAGATCCAGTAATTAATTTTTGATTTAAACATGGCTAGTTTTCATGAACCAGCCGAGCTATATTTGATGTACACGCGTGGATCCCAGTAGTTAGTTTGATCCATTAGTTTATTTTGGACTCTAACGTGGACACTCATGGTTGGCTTAAATCAGTTTTCACGAGTACCAGTAATGTGATTAGAAAAAATTAGTTTTCGTTTGCGTCATTTCCCATAGAGCTTCGGACCGTCATCCATGCGTTGCACCAAGACACTCAAAACGCTTTATATGAATGAATGTCAGATCGGAAATGGAGGAGCTCAATATATTGCTGTTAGACTAGGAAAAAACAAAGTAATTCTTATACGCTTATTCTTATCACCCTCACTCGACTCATTATTTTACACAGACACTCACCACACTTAACATAGCGTGCAACAAAATCGAATACTAAGGAGCTGAACAGATTGCTGATGCTCTCAAACAAAACGAAGTAACTCATCTGATCACATTTTCATCACATAAACTCATCTAATTATGTGACACAGGAAGTCAAGACACTTGACGTCGGAAACAATGCAATCGGAGACCGAGGAGCTGGACATATTGCTGATGGCCTCGAAATCAATCAAGTAACTCATCTATCTTTATTCTGTTCACACACATTCATCGTATCATCTTACATAGATACTCATCACCCTCGATCTTTCTTACAATCACATCGGACCAGAAGGAGCTGAATATATTGCTATTGTTCGCACGATCAACCCAATAAGTCATATAAACTTACTTTTACTCCTACCGTGCACATTCATTTCTTCATTCTACATAGACACTCAACACCTGCACTATTGATTTTAGTGAAGTCGCCCAACCACAAGCTCTAAACGATGGAGAAATCGGCAATATATTTTGTCTGAATTGATAGTTTCCGCTGTCATTTTCACTTGATGTTCGTTCTGATCGAAAGAATAAAATGTTTCCACAGATATTTTCATATATTATTGATTCGCATAAGAAAAAGGAAGTTATGAGGCAAAAACATAACTTTAACTTTATCTAAACGATCTTGGGGGTGAGGGGTAAGTTTTATCTAGATCTCGTTTGGATCCGAAGATTACAGACTAAATCTCGTAACTCTCACGACGCGTTTCAACCCTGCTACTGGTGTCATTTGGTGACCAAAGTATAGCTCTGTACTAGTCTATTCCAATCGACAAGAGTCAAACGACAGATCGTTGAGTGCTTTACATGTTGAAGAGGATTTGTAACGCCGTCCTTGATACGCTGTTGAGTACTTTTCGAGGTGAGTGGTTTGTTTATAGGCTAGGTTTTCGCTAGAACTCCCGAATGGTACGTTTTACTGGTAATAGTTTGATGCTTTGCGTGGATATGTAGGCTCAACGCGTTCGTTTTGTCGATTTTTCGGACATGTGTCTGTGACGTTGCTTTCTATTTCACGATGCATAAATTCGCCAATTATCGCAGAACTTTTTATAAAAATGATGCCAAGACCTGTAGGCTTAAACTCCAGGTTTTTCCAGATCCAATTATGAAAGTCAAAATGAAAGAAAACTGATATTGCCATTGGATTCAGCATGGTGGATATGAATAGGCCCTGACATGTAAGTTGTCGCCTCTTCGTTTAAGCACCTTTCTGTTATTTGGAATTTCTCTCATTGTGCACAGCACTATGCATATAGAAACACTTTATTTGGTTTCCCACTCTGGATATTTAAAAACCTGAACTGATACGTCTATGTTTAGATAGAAGTTTACACATTAATATGTTGGAAAAGATTAGATATAGAGATACAATACATCAAAAAACCTGTATAATGCAAACTACCTATCTTTTTATATTTCCGACTCAATCAAGCACTTTTCCTCGACGTATGCTTGCACATGTGGCGGATGACATCGACACATGTATATTTGGACTCCCCGAGTCTCGAGGTTTCATTTGAGATACTACAAGATTATATTTTGCGATGTTCGTTTTTCGTCATTTTTGGGGTTCTTTCAGCCGCTCCCGATAATCCATCTATAAATATGCTCCAAAACGTAAGTTAGTGCCAGATAGTCCAAGTGGTGTAGCATACGACTGACTATGTCGATTTATATAACAAGTGCTTTCGGACATAAAAATTTAATTTTTAAAATGCTCCATTTTCACTTTCTCTGCAGAGATGTGCAGGGCACCCTTATAGTAGAGTAGAGTACGGTCATGGCTCAAAAGTCACAAGGTAGAGTAGGGCCAGGGCTCTAATGTCACCTGAAGTCACAGACCAGGACAGGGTAGAGGTTTGCGGGACTTTTTACGGGACCGCGACCGGGATCTAGCGGTCTGCGGGGCGGTCCCAGTCCTGCGAGATTGTCCCAGTGGAATTTTTAATAGGGCCGAGACCAGGTTTTTTTGAAAATAGTCTTGTATCAAGTATAAAAATTTCTTAGTTTCTGTGCCTGTTTGTATGTAGGCAGTAGTTCTGCGAGAAAGAATTCACACATAATTCGAAAAGTCCTCGGTTAATAATCTCATCCATAGTGCTATTTTCCAGATTAGCTTGAATTAGTGTCGCGCTGACACAGTTTGTTCAAAGTTCAAATTTTTGTAAACACAGCTAAAGCTATAAGGTTCTTCTAGCTTAAACAATAGAAAAGGAAAAATGTCTACTGTTGAAAGTTCATAGTTGAATACTATTCATTTTTATCTATCAAAAAAAGTCATCATCAACTGTTGCAGTTGTTGCCATTTTCTCGTTATCACTATCATTATCTTTTTGCTTGCTATTATCATCATCCTGCTCTTCATATTTTTGTTTTTTTGTTAATGTTCCTGGACTTGTGTCTGCAGTAGTATTACATAAATCTTTGTAATTTACAACGCGCTGACTTTCAAACTACGGGCGCTACTTTGAAAAAATATTTACAGGACCACGGGACCGGGACCAAAAACGGTTGGTCTCGCAGACCTCTAGGACAGGGTGCTGCAACCAAGTACTTGGACAAGTCAGTCTCTCTTTTGTTTTGCATTGATCAGTTGTATATAAACACCAGAATATCCATCGTTATACACTCAAGTGGTTCTGTTGCAGATCCACAGAAACTGCGAATGTTGACTAAGAGTTTACCTATCAAGAACTAGCTAGATAACTAGGCTTTTAAGTAAAATAAAATGAATAATGCTGTGTGGGTGCAGAATGTTGTTGAACAGGTTATTTCTGGATATCAATGGCACCGTTGCAATTCATTCATGCAACAGAACGACTTAAAACACTTTGACAACTCATTTCAGTCTAGTGGTCTGAGTGAAATCGAGTTGTTATTGTTATATGTGTACTACTAGGCTCGTGTGGAATATGAAATCATTGTGACTAATTGTGAGTGTTCGTAACTCATGGGCGTATTGAGTATTCAGTGTATTTGACAATTAATATTATATCTGTATAAATATTTCATGGTCGGTCGGAGAAGGCAGTATCGCGAGTAAATGAAGAGATAAAAACTTTTCTGTAAAGATCAGGGTTGGACGAGTCCAAGTGCGAACCGGAAGATTTTTTGGTGGACTCGGACTTGAACTTGTACTTTTGTATTTCAAGTCCGATCGATTCAATTTTTAAGATAAATGAACAGCGAAATTTGTATTTTTTCAATATTAGTATAGGATATATAGACACACGTGTTACTCCCTTTAAAAATTATTCTTAAAAAATATGCTATACGGCACAGAAGAAAAAAGAAATTAAAATAACAACAACCAATTATTGGACTCAAAATGGGCTCAGGACTCGGACTCGCGACTGCATTTCAAGGACTCGGTGTGCTCGCTTCATGACTTGGACTTGACTCGGACTCAGCACCCCACCGGACTCGCTTTGCCCTGGTAAAGATGTAAGAGAGTATTTATTTAGTAAAGTCAAGGAGTTAGAATCTGACGAGATACTTGTGCGATATTTAATGGATCTGAGCAAGCTGTTTCGTACGCTTCTGAGCCGAGTTTTGAGATTTTTTAGCAGAGTACAAAATGTGATTTTCTCAACTGATAGAAATGCGTTCGATCCTAGTTTCAAGCAAGAATTGATTTTGTATTCTAATACTTTAAGGAACGGACCGATGTAATGATAATTATATATTCTCGATTTTGTTCTGGGTCAAGGAAAAGTTTAAACCAACATCCATGATTGATACTGTGGCCATTTAAACAAAACATTCCTACTCCAGATGCAGCGGCATAAAGGCAACAAATAGAGACAACTACGTTTAACGAAGGTTGGTATGTTGGCAAAATGAATCATAGCCATAGCCAACCTTCATATTTTTTTAACGTCGGTAATTTGCTACCTCCAAATGATCATAATGACGACTAACATCGTTCACTTTGGTTGTATAAAGGAACATACGTCTTTTTGATTATACGATTTTCATCAGTCATTCATTATCATTGCATATCAATACACTTGTGTTATATATGTGGCCACGTATTAATTATTGCATTCAACATAATAGTGACCACTTTTGAGATAAAAGAGATCAGATGCCTGTGAGATCAGAAGTTTGTGATTATTAAAAACATTACAAGGTTCTGGACTGTTTTATCTCAAGACTAATCACAGCAATAAGATTCCAGACTGTCTGATCTCAGGCGTGTTTACTAGTGTTTGTGTACAATGTTAATTAAAATCAAGTCATTTTAAAATTGTTATTACCCGTTCATTAAATGAGCTATTGGGAAAGTTTCTTTCAAAAGGTACATCTGCATCGTTTAGAGTTTTTACTCATTTTTATTCCAGATGCCTACGATTGTAAAGCAGCAAGAAGAATTTTGCTAGGCAACGCGTTGACTGAGATATATAAAGCCGGTCAGTGTTCACTTTGCCGACTTAAATAAAAATATTAACTGAAATTATTAACTTTGAAATGAAATAATTGGTCTGAAAACACCATCGATATCTCAAGATCAATAGCAGTGGAGGCATTAGTAAAAGTATGAAACTGATTGTGACGCCTCCATTTATATTTCAGATTGTTTTGACTTTGCTAGGATATTGAGTATGATTCGGTTTGGTTTGATTTAATGCAATACCCATAGAAAAGCAAGATTTCTGAGGAATAATTTCATTTTCTGTATCAGCCAATTGCTTATTGTAATCACGAAAAACCCTCTGGAGTATGAATCATCGTCACATTGTCAGTAAATAAATACATGATTTGGTCATTTGATGTACTCATTTTGTGTATTATTGTGTAGACTGATCAAGAAAAGTCTCTTATAAAAAAAAGCAATTTAGTAGATGAAATTTTGCGGGAAATTTAAGCTTGAATGAATGTTTCCAAATCTGGTTTCCTTTTTTGGATTCCCATTCGCATCACTCGCAGCACTATTCCGCATTACAGAGGGCTCCGTTTTTGGTAGATATCTCGGTAACAATAGAAAGAATTTAAAAAAGGGAAAAAAGATTCGGAATGTTCATCTTCTGAGTTTGAATTCTGGGAAGCGTTCATTCAGTCAATTGCTTTTCTCATAAGAAACTTCTTCGCCAGTCCTCACGCTAATTACTTCTACCTGTGTCATCCACCTCGACGAGATTGTCGACAAATCATTTGAGTAGAAGTTCGTGTCAGAAAGCTAGTGCCACTCTCTGTTTTGTATTCGGTTCTAGAATTTAGACTTGGTTAATCATATTCTTGTGCTATTTTTTTCATGTCTATATGTTCTGGTAGATTTAGACCTTTTTTTTCACGAAGGTATAAAACATTACTTTATTCAGCTAGCTATGCCTAGATTATTTTTTCTAACAGCTTCTGTTTGGGTAACTAATCAAGAAAGGTGAATGCCAACCTCACTGAAATCTTCCCGACATGGTTGTTTGTTTGTGCTTAGTCTTGGTCTCTTTCGTCATACGGAAAATCTTGTGCTGTCTTTTAGTTCTAGGTTTTTCTGAAAAGTCATATATGTATTTTTCTCTTTTATTATTTTCTTCTTGATGCCACTTAAACTTTGACGCTTTTGGTTAATGAACGGTGGAGAAAAGAATTTGATACTTTTGTCTAAGTAATCTTATAAAGTGAAAACGGTTATTTATTTGCTTTTTAGTATAAAATTATTCTCGTTGCTATCATTATTATACGTCATTTCATCGAAAAGTTTACTTCTATGCAGTATGGCTGTAACATTATTAAAAGTTTTAATACGATTAAAAAACGGCCAATATCATAGTACTGAAATTCGCGATAAATATCGTATTCTTGATTTATATAAACAAATAGCAAATGAACTTCATTTATCGATCGAACAAGTCAAACTTTTAACTATTTATCGTAGCACAGCTGATGGTGTTCAGGTATTATTATATCCATCGTCTTATGGTATGTATTTTGATGAATCTCGTACACTTGATACATTCTCAATTTTACAAAACGAACAATTATACATTGATATCGGTGAACTCTTTGATGAGTCAACACTTTCGATGTCTCCTTCTTCAACAGCATCATCAACATCATCCATCGTTATCAATGAATCAAATTTATCCCCATCAGTGACAAACTTACAACATTATCAAGCAAAACCAAAACCACAAAAGCCGGTTTTTGATCAACAACAACATAAAACATCGTCATCAATAACATCACCACCAAAAAGCATGTCAAAAGCATTAAAATCATCCATTGGTCAACTAATACGTTATTCAGTACCAGCAGATAATTCATGTGTAAGCAGCCATCTTTATTCGATAAAGTTTTTTATGATAGATCAATATTTGTTTTCATTTAGTTATTCTCATCAATTAATTTTGTCTTACATTCTGGAAAAATGGATTTAGCATCAAATAAATATTTACGTAATATGGTAGCAACAAAAATCGAATCAGACGAGAAGACATATTCAGAAGCAATATTAGGAAGAAAAAATAGTGATTATTGTAAATGGATTCGTAAAGGTAAGATTTATTTCATTAGAAAGAAATAATAAGACAAAGACTTTTGTTCAGCCTACAATTAGGCATGCAACAGTTTTTTTTCGTGTTTTTCAAAAATTGGTTTGTATTTTTGCAACAACGAACTGTGAAATTTTCTGAAATCATCAGTTTTGTAGAGCAAACATTTCTCTACAATATGGCATATAGTAGATAGTTTTTCTTTAAAATAAAGAAACCAAACAAGTTTAAAACTATCTACTATATGCCATATTGTAGAGAAATGTTTGCTCTACAAAACTGATGATTTCAGAAAATTTCACAGTTCGTTGTTGCAAAAATACAAAC